TTCCATTGCAGTTTTGCGAAATATTCCTTTTTCGAATTGCTTGAAAAACCTCCTCATGCGAACGTAAAATCTTTTTTGCGATAAACGGGAGTTGGAATGGAACGAAATGGACGTGGTTCCATTGTGCGTATTTTCAATTCGCAATTTCAATTTGCGCAATTTGAAGGCTAATGGAAACTAAACCGGAACCTGACGCAGAACCATAAAACGGCCACGACGCCGTAGGAGTGACGGCGTAGCTACGTCGTAGAGTTGACGCAGAAGCATAATGAGGCCTTAAGAAGGATTTATCTATATTTAATTTAGAGTTTATGCAGTGAAGACTGTAAAGTGTTTGATAACTTTGTTCAATTTCTATATATCCTGTGAGGCCTTGCTGAAAATCTTAAAGCACTGTTTACAAGGTCACATGGGTTGAAAGCCATAACTTTTTATGTTTCTCGACAGGGCAAGTAAAACTGAACTGGGCAAATAGGAACAATTGAGATATATTGAGGGGTTAATGTTACAATGGGTCTATGTGAAGATTGTTCAGTTAAATTCAAAGTTGTTGAAAGCCTAATGAATGTTAAAATTGATAGATTTAATTTATACTGTAATGTTCAATGGCTATAATTAATGGCTAAAGTTTCGGTACTGGCCTTCTTTTATAAAAAAAAATATGCAATTAAACACATTTAAAATATAGGCTACTGTCTGTATGTGTGTGTACGTATGTGTGTGTGTGTGTATATATATATATATAGGGCTGTCAAGATATATTTTTCACTACATGATTATCATGGCCAAAATAATTCACGATAATGATATATCGTGATATCTATAGAAATCTTGAAAAAAAAAATAGATAAATAATGCTATCAGTCAAATAGTAATACATTTTTTTATTTTTATTTTATAGTATTATATACAGTGATAGGCTGTTGATTGGCATTGCATTATAAATATACATTATCCTTATGAAAACAGCAGAGATGGCTCGCAGAACACAGATAAACCATAATACAGTCACAACAGTGTGTTAATTCTCTTCATGTTTAATCTGTGTTTTATTCGGCTACAGCAAATCAATTCATTAAAACAATAAAAATAGATACATTTTACAATCTTTGTCCAAATTAGGGATTTCCTGGAACTTATTAGCCTACTTATGATCTCACTTGTGAAATTACATGTGAGAGTTTTAAGTGCAAGTGACTGTGACCAATTAACCCATACTCATAATGTGTCCTCTGCATTTAACCCATTCAAGTGAGTCACACACAGTAGCAGTGAGTAGTGAACACACACACACACACACTGTAAAAAAGAATCCTGTAAAAAAAACGGTAAACTACTGGCAGCTGTGGTTGCCAGCATCATACCGTAAAAATACGGTGTGACTGTTTTTGAAATTAACAGCTAAATATCGTATTGTCAGCTACAGTATAAAACTTTAATTTAACAGCTATATGCTCTAACACAAAAACAGTAACACGCCGTTTAGTTACGGTATGATGCTGGCAACCACAGCTGCCAGGAGTTTACCTTTTTTTACAGGATTATTTTTTACAGTGCAATAGTAGCAGTGAGTAGTGAACACACACACACCTGGAGCAGTGAGTAGTGAACACACACACTTGGAGCAGTGAGTAGTGAACACACACACACACACACACACAGTAGGAGCAGTGAGTAGTGAACACACACACACACACTTAGAGGAAGCCATGTTACTGCAGCACCCGGGGAGCGATTGTGGGTTCGTGCTCAAGGACACTCCAGACGGCACTGATAATCGAACCCGCAACCTTCAGGTTACCAGTCTGACTCTCTAACCATTAGGCCACAACTGCCCCTGCCCCTGCCTCTGCCCCTGTTTTTTATCTTAAAGTTTAGCGCTCCATATTTAGGGTAAAAATAGAACAAAATACGAAGTATAATCCATGAGTTTGTATACGAACGAACACTCTTTGTACTAATATATACACTCACCTAAAGGATTATTAGGAACACCATACTAATACTGTGTTTGACCCCCTTTCGCCTTCAGAACTGCCTTAATTCTACGTGGCATTGATTCAACAAGGTGCTGAAAGCATTCTTTAGAAATGTTGGCCCATATTGATAGGATAGCATCTTGCAGTTGATGGAGATTTGTGGGATGCACATCCAGGGCACGAAGCTCCCGTTCCACCACATCCCAAAGATGCTCTATTGGGTTGAGATCTGGTGACTGTGGGGGCCATTTTAGTACAGTGAGCTCATTGTCATGTTCAAGAAACCAATTTGAAATGATTTGAGCTTTGTGACATGGTGCATTATCCTGCTGGAAGTAGCCATCAGAGGATGGGTACATGGTGGCCATAAAGGGATGGACATGGTCAGAAACAATGCTCAGGTAGGCCGTGGCATTTAAACGATGCCCAATTGGCACCAAGGGGCCTAAAACGTGCCAAGAAAACATCCCCCACACCATTACACCACCACCACCAGCCTGCACAGTGGTAACAAGGCATGATGGATCCATGTTCTCATTCTGTTTACGCCAAATTCTGACACTACCATCTGAATGTCTCAACAGAAATCGAGACTCATCAGACCAGGCAACATTTTTTCAGTCTTCAACTGTCCAATTTTGGTGAGCTCTTGCAAATTGTAGCCTCTTTTTTCTATTTGTAGTGGAGATGAGTGGTACCCGGTGGGGTCTTCTGCTGTTGTAGCCCATCCGCCTCAAGGTTGTGCGTGTTGTGGCTTCACAAATGCTTTGCTGCATACCTCGGTTGTAACGAGTGGTTATTTCAGTCAAAGTTGCTCTTCTATCGGCTTGAATCAGTCGGCCCATTCTCCTCTGACCTCTAGCATCAACAAGGCATTTTCGCCCACAGGACTGCCGCATACTGGATGTTTTTCTCTTTTCACACCATTCTTTGTAAACCCTAGAAATGGTTGTGCGTGAAAATCCCAGTAACTGAGCAGATTGTGAAATACTCAGACCGGCCTGTCTGGCACCAACAACCATGCCACACTCAAAATTGCTTAAATCACCTTTCTTTCCCCATTCTGACATTCAGTTTGGAGTTCAGGAGATTGTCTTGACCAGGACCACACCCCTAAATGCATTGAAGCAACTGCCATGGGATTGGTTGATTAGATAATTGCATTAATGAGAAATTGAACTGGTGTTCCTAATAATCCTTTAGGTGAGTGTATATATATATATATATATATATATATATGTATATCTTTGTGTGTGTGTGTGTGTGTGTGTGTGTGTATGTATATGCATAGGCCTATATGTACATATGTACAGTATAAGTGTGTGTATTCATGTTATAAATATTGTTCATAAATATTGCATTCATTTGCCATTACAGAAATCACAAACAATAAGGTTTGAATTTTATTCAAAATAATGCAAAATAAATATCCGTCTAAAATTGTCCAATTTTTTTTTAAGATACTTTTTTGTGCATTATTTTAAATGCAATTCAAACCTCAGCGTTTTTTAAATGTGCATTAATTAGAATAATCTTCACTTTTTTTTTTATTAAAATGAAAAAAAATTAAAGCAAGTACAAATGTGGGGGTAGAAATGCATTTAATTGCCATTTTATATATAAATAAACACACACACACATGCACATATTGAACTCCTGATCTGTTAAGATCAGTATAAAGCCAAGGGCTTATTAATATAAGTGTTAATACGCAGACATGCGTGAGGCATTACTGTCTCTCCATCTGAGCTATCAGCACACACAGATTACAGTGGCTCCTTCACTCGCTGCTTCAGTGTGTGTTATTATCGTGAAGCTGAAGTTCAGTTTGGAGTGTGTCCAGAAAGAGCATTCCACTGATTTTTACAGACTGAAGTCCTGATAGAGGTCATGGCAACGGAGACGCATCTGTGAGACTTAGTATTCATGTCGAATCTCTGGTGTTTCTTACAACAAACTCCTCTACATTTCTCCCTGTGAAGAGGAGAACGCCGAGATATCCGTCGACTTGTGATTTCAACTCGAGACCCTTCATCACGGAAGCTTGTTTCTGCCACGCAACCAAAAATATAAAAAAGCACTTTTCATCTCGCGATTCTGACTTTAGTTTTTTTCCCTCACAATTGCGAGTTATATTGTGCATTTGCTCTAAAATCTAATTTAAATGAAATTAAAGGCCACTTAAAGAGATACACTTTCACTTACCGGTAAATACACTTTAAAAAAAAGTGCACTTTGCAATAATGTCAAAATAAAAGCTTTACTTTTTAAAATACATTTTAAATTATTGTTTTAATGATCTTTTGTCGTGCTTTCTTATTTTGACGTGTTGACTAATACACTAAAGCACATTCAGTGTGATATTTGATTATGCAAAACTGTAAAAATATGACATAGCAATGACAAAGTATATTTTAGTTTATCATAAATGCTTGTCATCAGCAGTACACTTTATTATTACATATTTAATATATATTTATTATAACCATTTTTCAAAGACAATAGAAGTAATTAGGAAATTACACATAAAGATGTACTTATCACAATTAACCATTCTTGTTTTTTATGGAACATTGCAGTATTTATTATGAATTATCCGTGCACATCATAATTATTGTTTTAATTTCATCTTGAATCAGAATAACATTGACATCTCTTCTCTGATGACTAGGGCGGAGCAACCTGTCACTCACATGAGATCCACCAATAGCAAACCACAACCATCCAATCAGCCAATCAACTCCCCACAGACAAAATCAAGCCCCGCCCACATTTGCTCTTGTTCTAGAAGCCACCGTCACTTGTTTCATGCCGACTTTAAGTCCTTCTTAAGTTGGTCAAAACAAGTGTTTTTTAAGTTTAACAAATGGCAACACATTTTCATTTGCATTTAACTAACATTTAAGTGTCTAAAAACATCACATGTATATTCTTAAAAAGTGTATTTGGTTAATAACTCATCTTAAACGTATGCTAATGTGTCCACATCATTTGTTATTGGTGTATGTGTGTGTTGTGCAGGACAGGTCAATGGCGAGGATCTCCAATCATGTGTTCATGCTGGTCTTGACCGCGCTCCTCCTGGTGTGTGAGATCGTGGTCGGCCGAATCTGCAGATCGCTCCTGATCGCGGTGGACAGCTTTCACACACTCTACGTCTTCTTACATCTGTCTCTGTCGGCATTGAAGCATCATCCCAGCTCTCCATCTCACAGAAGCAAGCGCCTCGAGCCCTTCGGCGTCCTGATCTCAGCTCTTCTGATGGCGTCTCAGTGTGTGTCCATCAGTCTGGAGATCCTCACACACCTCGTGCAGCCAGAAGCCGTTCAACACCCACTCTTGTCTATAGTGGTCGGAGGAGCTAGTCTGATATTCAATATACTCGTATTGGCCTGGAGAAGGAGAAGTAGTGGAGCTCATGACGGGATCAATAAAGGTCTGATGCGAAACGATCCTCATTCTACATCAGAAAGCAAAGGTGTTTTGGTTTACATATGTGTTAAAGGGTTAGTTCACCCAAAAATGAAAATGTCATTGACTCGCCCTCATGTCGTCCCAAGCCCGTAAGACCTGAACACAGTTTAAGATATTTTAGATTTAGTCCGAGAGCTTTCTGTCCCTCCATTGAACATGTATGTATGGTATACTTGTTATGATGGTGGATAAGGAGAACCCAGGCGCAGACAGAGTACACTAAACACACGATTTATTGACAACAAAGAGGGGAAAATAATGCCCACGATGGGGTAAAACAAGACAAGGCAGAGGATAACTAACAGCAAACAAACGAACAGGATCTTCACAGGACACGTAACTAAGACACGATACTCACAGGTAACATTAATCAATGCCTCAACACGAAGCTAGAGCAATCACAGGCAGGACTTCACAGCAGGTTTAACAATGAACCGACACAGGACAGCAAACACAAGGGGATTAAATAGGGGAACACTAATGACGAGGACAGGTGAAGGTGACTAGACAATAATGACGAGACGAGGATAACAAGGGGGCGGGGTCACGTAACAAGACAACACAAGCACATGGCCCACAAAAGGCCATGTGCTTGCACACAAAACATGGGTCTGTCATGATCCTGCCACAAGACCAGGGAAAATCAAAGACATGATGGCAGAATCATGACAGAAACCCCACCTTAAGGAGCGGCTTCCAGACGCTCCTCAAGGGGACATCAAGACAAGACTGACCGAGACAAAGACATGAACCAACAAAACATGACAAATAATAACAAAGGCATACAAGAAAAGACAATAACTGGGTTAGGGTGACACAACAAAAACAATAAACAAGGCAAGGGCGGTGGAGGAAACACAAAGTTCTTAGGGGGCAGTCCAGGGTGAATGGGTGGGACAGGGGTCTTGGGTCTTTGGGAAGAGGGCGAGGGCTGCGGATGACGGGTCCGGGCAGGCTTGGGTGGAACAGTCCGGGGTTGGACAGCGACAGGGGGTACAGTGGACGACGGAACATGACTCTTGACGGGGGGAACAACCGGTAACACAACAGGACACCTGAGAGGAGGGGTAATGGGCAGCTGTGGAGCTGAAACAGGAACGGTGCTTTCTGTGGCTGACTCAGGAACGGCGCCCTCTGTGGCTGACTCAGGAACGGCGCCCTCTGTGGCTGACTCAGGAACGGCGCCCTCTGTGGCTGACTCAGGAACGGCGCCCTCTGTGGCGGACTCAGGAACGGCGCCCTCTGTGGCGGACTCAGGAACGGCGCCCTCTGTGGCTGACTCAGGAACGGCGCCCTCTGTGGCTGACTCAGGAACGGCGCCCTCTGTGGCTGACTCAGGAACGGCGCCCTCTGTGGCTGACTCAGGGACGGCGCCCTCTGTGGCTGACTCAGGGACGGCGCCCTCTGTGGCTGACTCAGGGACGGCGCCCTCTGTGGCTGACTCAGGGACGGCGCCCTCTGTGGCTGACTCAGGGACGGCGCCCTCTGTGGCTGACTCAGGGACGGCGCCCTCTGTGGCTGACTCAGGGACGGCGCCCTCTGTGGCTGACTCAGGGACGGCGCCCTCTGTGGCTGACTCAGGGACGGCGCCCTCTGTGGCTGACTCAGGGACGGCGCCCTCTGTGGCTGACTCAGGGACGGCGCCCTCTGTGGCTGACTCAGGGACGGCGCCCTCTGTGGCTGACTCAGGGACGGCGCCCTCTGTGGCTGACTCAGGGACGGCGCCCTCTGTGGCTGACTCAGGGACGGCGCCCTCTGTGGCTGACTCAGGGACGGCGCCCTCTGTGGCTGACTCAGGGACGGCGCCCTCTGTGGCTGACTCAGGGACGGCGCCCTCTGTGGCTGACTCAGGGACGGCGCCCTCTGTGGCTGACTCAGGGACGGCGCCCTCTGTGGCTGACTCAGGGACGGCGCCCTCTGTAGCTGTAGGTACAGGACTATGAGATGCGGCAGGAATTTCAAGGATCTTGACAAGACTCAAAAGGTAATCAGACAAGGCTTTGGCAGCGATGACGACTGGCATCTCTTGATGGGCTGACACTGACTGCAGAACTGCTGCCGCAGCTAAATCGGCCGCAGCTCTCTCTGCAGCTAACACAGGAACAGTGCTCTGCAGCAGACCTGGATTCAGAGCTCTCAGTTGCAGCAGCGGGCTCTGGATCAGCGCTTGCAGCAGCGGGCTCTGGATCAGCGCTTGCAGCAGCGGGCTCTGGATCAGCGCTTGCAGCAGCGGGCTCTGGATCAGCGCTTGCAGCAGGGGGCTCTGGATCAGCGCTTGCAGCAGGGGGCTCTGGATCAGCGCTTGCAGCAGGATTTGAGGCTCCCCTCTTCCTCCTTTCTCCTAGGTCGGGAAGACGAGACCATAGCCGGAACTGAGACGGGTTGGGGAAGCACAGCGGGAACTGTGTCGGGCGAAGGAGGGGCCTCCTCTGGCAGGATTGACTCTGTCGCTGACGATTCCGATGGAGAATCCTACGAAATCCGTCTCCCTCGTTTGCCATGGAGATCAGCGGGTTTCTCAGGAGTCGGGGTGGAACTGGCCTGGTCCCCAAGCGTCACAACACCTATCCTTCGACCCTCAGGAATGATAGGTAGGCGGGCAGAAGGTGAAAACCTCGAGGATGCCGCCTCAGACTCCTCCCGGGAGAAGTGGTCATACAGACGAGAGAAGTTCGACAAGATCCACTCACCCTCGGGTGAGTATGGAAGGGTGACACTCCTCCTGTTGCGGGGGGAAGACAACCAGACTTCTCTAAGGGGGTCCGGATAACGCTTGGCAGGGACGGGCAAACGGTCTGCTGGGTTCGGTCTTGGTCGGTTCATTCTGTTATGATGGTGGATAAGGAGAACCCAGGCGCAGACAGAGTACACTAAACACACGATTTATTGACAACAAAAAGGGGAAAATAATGCCCACGATGGGGTAAAACAAGACAAGGCAGAGGATAACTAACAGCAAACAAACGAACAGGATCTTCACAGGACACGTAACTAAGACACGATACTCACAGGTAACATTAATCAATGCCTCAACACGAAGCTAGAGCAATCACAGGCAGGACTTCACAGCAGGTTTAACAATGAACCGACACAGGACAGCAAACACAAGGGGATTAAATAGGGGAACACTAATGACGAGGACAGGTGAAGGTGACTAGACAATAATGACGAGACGAGGATAACAAGGGGGCGGGGTCACGTAACAAGACAACACAAGCACATGGCCCACAAAAGGCCATGTGCTTGCACACAAAACATGGGTCTGTCATGATCCTGCCACAAGACCAGGGAAAAATCAAAGACATGATGGCAGAATCATGACAATACTGTCCTTGTCCAGAAAGGAAATAAAGACATCATCAAAGTAGTCCATGTGACATCAGTGGGTTAGTTAGAATGTTTTGAAGCATCGAAAATACATTTTGGTCCAAAAATAACAAAAACTAGGACTTTATTCAGCATTGTATTGTCTTCCGGTTCTGTTGTGGATCCGCGTTCAGTGCCGCCGCTGACGTAAGACGCTGCTGACGTGTGTCTGGTGCGCCCGAGCTTCGTTTACAGTCTGAGGGAGACGCACGCTGGAAACAAAACAATCTTCGCAAAGGATTTCCACACATCAGGAGGAAGACTTGCATTTCTTTGCCCAGCCATATTTATTTGAACCCGAATACACGGGCGCACCAGACACACGTCAGCAGCGTCTTACGTCAGCGGCGTCACTGAACGCGGATCCACAACAGAACCAGAAGACAATACAATGCTGAATAAAGTCCTAGTTTTTGTTATTTTTGGACCAAAATGTATTTTCGATGCTTCAAAACATTCTAACTAACCCACTGATGTCACATGGACTACTTTGATGATGTCTTTATTTCCTTTCTGGACAAGGACAGTATACCGTACATACATTTACAATGGAGGGACAGAAAGCTCTCGGACTAAATCTAAAATATCTTAAACTGTGTCCCGAAGATGAACGGAGGTCTTACGGGCTTGGGACGACATGAGGGTGAGGCATTAATGACATTATTTTCATTTTTGGGTGAACTAACCCTTTAATGACCAGATGAGAGGAAAGCTAATACAGGGATTTCTGATGTCTCTCTCTAGATCCCGGTCAGTTTTTCTGTTTTCTGTCCCTTAAACAAAGATGCTTTTAATCATATGATTAAAAGTGAAAATGGCCGTCCAGGTTAAAGAGCTGAAACACATCTTTAGCAAGATGCAGTTACAATATTATCAAGGAAGAAGGTCTTCACTGCAAAACTGCACTGAGGAGATTCCCCCTTCCATGTAAAGCGCTTTGAGTACCCAGGAAAGTGCTATATAAATGTAACGAATTATTATTATTATTATAAAACCAAAGCTGGAAAGATGCCAAGCTTTTCATGCTAAATGTCTTCATGTTGGCCCTAAATTCACCCAAAATGCCCAAAAAGCCCTAAACCACAGAAACCCAATCTGAAAATGAAAACAGGTAAGGTCCTTGCACACTGAGTCCGAAATTTTCGTATGCATTTTTTCGTATTCGTCATTCAGTGGGTCTGAATTGTCAAAACACCTCTCAAAAATTTTTTATGACGCACGAAAGTTTCGGAGGCAGTGTGTAAACATTTTTGCATATATAATGACTCTCAATGTGCAAGGACCTTTAGTGGTAGAAATGATCAGTTGTGCAGTGATGAGAATATGTGTCTATATTGATCATTTAATTTCTTTAATGATAAAGTGAATACAGATTATGCAATCAGTTCCACTTCCTGTGAGCTGATGTGTTGTGCCTCTACTGTATTATGACCCATCAGGTTGAAGGTCTGCTGTAGTGCAGTGATGATGATGGTTGTGTTGTAGATCATCTCCAGGATGAGGCACTGATGTTCTGCAACCCTGAAGCCTCTAGTGTTCTGGATCCAGATCGAGGCTCTTCTGAGTCTCCAAACCTCAGCGCCACTAAACCAGTTCCTGAGTCCAGTATCAGTGAAACATCTGAGGAAATCATCCAGAAACTTCCAGAAGAGCCTCGTCACCCGACCGGCACCGAACCCACCGGTGAGAGAGAGGAACAACATAACTTTTTTAGTTATGTCTTATGTCATGTTGATTTAAGACATGAGACTCTTCTGCTCACCAAGGCTGCAGTTATTTGGAGATGGTCCTCACTGCAGAACACAACATCCAGGGGGAGGAGTTGGACCCAGATCCAACTCCTCCCACCTTACATATACCTAAACCTACCCATCTCCACCACCTGATCCCTAACCCCACCCTAATCCTACCCATCTCCACCCCTGATCCCTAACCCCACCCTAATCCTACCCATCTCCGCCCCCTGATCCCTAACCCCACCCTAATCCTACCCATCTCCACCCCCTGATCCCTAACCCCACCCCTAATCCTACCCATCTCCACCCCCTGATCCCTAATCCTACCCATCTCCGCCCCCTGATTCCTAACCCCACCCTAATCCTACCCATCTCTGCCCCCTGATCCCTAACCCCACCCTAATCCTACCCATCTCCACCCCCTAATCCCTAACCCCACCCCTAATCCTACCCATCTCCACCCCCTGATCCCTAACCCCACCCCTAATCCCTAACCCCACCCCTAATCCTACCCATCTCCACCCCCTAATCCCTAACCCCACCCCTAATCCTACCCATCTCCACCCCCTGATCCCTAACCCCACCCCTAATCCCTAACCCCACCCCTAATCCTACCCATCTCCACCCCCTGATCCCTAATCCTACCCATCTCCGCCCCCTGATCCCTAACCCCACCCTAATCCTACCCATCTCCACCCCTGATCCCTAACCCCACCCTAATCCTACCCATCTCCGCCCCCTGATCCCTAACCCCACCCTAATCCTACCCATCTCCGCCCCCTGATCCCTAACCCCACCCTAATCCTACCCATCTCCGCCCCTGATCCCTAACCCCACCCCTAATCCTACCCATCTCCGCCCCCTGATCCCTAACCCCACCCCTAATCCCTAACCCCACCCCTAATCCTACCCATCTCCGCCCCCAGTCAGAATTGCGTGATATAAAGTCGCAATTGCGTGTTATAAAGTCAGAATTGCGAGATATGAAGTCAGAATTGTGTGTTATAAAGTCAGAATTGCGAGATATAAAGTCAGAATTGCATGATATAAAGTCGCAATTGCGTGTTATAAAGTCAGAATTGCGAGATATGAAGTCAGAATTGTGTGTTATAAAGTCAGAATTGCGAGATATAAAGTCAGAATTGCATGATATAAAGTCGCAATTGCGTGTTATAAAGTCAGAAATGCGAGATATAAAGTCGAAATTGCGTGTTATAAAGTCAGAATTGCGAGATATAAAGTCAGAATTGCATTAAAAAAAGTCGCAATTGCGTGTTATAAAGTCAGAATTGCGAGATATAAAGTCAGAATTGCAAGATATAAAGTCAGAAATGCGAGATATAAAGTCAGAAATGCGAGATATAAAGTCAGAAATGCGTGATATAAAGTCAGAATTGCGAGATATAAAGTCAGAATTGCAAGATATAAAGTCAGAAATGCGAGATATAAAGTCAGAAATGCGAGATATAAAGTCAGAAATGCGTGATATAAAGTCAGAAATGCAAGATATAAAGTCAGAATTGCGAGATGTAAACTCGCAATTGTGAGATAAAAAGTCTCAATTCTGTCTTTTTTTCTCGCAATTGCGACTTTATTTCTCACAATTCTGACTTCATATCTCGCAATTGTGAAATAAAAAGTCGCAATTATTTATTTATTTATTTTATTCAGTGGCGGAAACATTAGGATTCCATAGAAAACAGCTATTTTAAAGCAACACCAAGGAACTTTTCCTCTGCGGTCGCCCTACAGGTTGGAAGCGGAATTGTCCATTACAGCTGTCGTAAATAATTTAGCCTAGCGCATCTTACTGTCGCACGCGCACGCTCGCTGTTTATCCAGCACCGGCTTTGGAATCAACAACGGCAGACATCCCAACCTGCAAGAAGTAATTTCAGGGAGGTATATCTTGGTGACTGGATTGTTGACGGGGTGGCGGGTTGACTAGCTTTCGTGAGGCACACTCGCAAGGTCTCTCGCTCTCTCCCTCTCTGCCGTGCTCGCGCTATGTATGTTATGCGCGCAGTGTGTTCTGTCTCGCATGTGCGCTCTAGATTCCGGCAGATTTGAACTAATTTGCGGGCATCAGGGAGACGCTATAGACTTGGGATGTCTGCAATGGCCATAGACAATTTGAGGAAGTGGTGGGGGAAGTGACGTATGCCGTAAAGCAGTCGAGTTTTGTAGTTCTTTTTGTGCTCGGGTTACTACCCGAAACCCGAAGTTACATAGTGCCAGTAAAAGCGATACAGACCACGTCAGGCTATGGCAGACGTGTCATTTAACCTATTGTAAGTCGATGTACCATCACAAGGGTCTTGGAAATATATTATGAAGGTTGAAAAGTTCCATAGTGTTGCTTTAAACTGTAATAACATTTCACACTATTACAGCATTTTTAATCACATAAATGCAGCCTTGATGAGCAGAAAATACTTATTTAAAAAATGCGATTTAATCACCATAACACACTATAATGTGTTTGTTTTGGACCTGCCAGTTCCCCGGCGTACTCCTAGAGTCTCCGGGTTCAGAGGCATCATCCTCGGTGTGATCCAGGACCTCCTGTGTTCACTCCTCGTGTTGAGCACCGGGCTGGTTCTCCTGCTGTCCGAGGCGCACTGTCACCGGCCTCACTCGGACTGTCATCTGCTGGTGTACCTGGACGCGGGTCTCTCCTCCGCCGCGGTGCTGGTGCTGTTGTCCGCGGCCGTACCGAAGCTCCACCGCTACGGGCTGCTGGTCCTCCAGGCGGTGCCGCGGCACGTGTGCGTCGATCAGGTGCGTCGGTGCGTCAGTGCGGTTCCCGGTGTGTTCTCGGTTCACGAGCTGCACGTGTGGCAAATGTCTGACGCGCTGCTGGTCGCGTCGCTGCACGTCCACTGTTTCGACGCGCTGAACGCAACGCAGTGTGAAGATCTCATAGCGAAGATTAAAGAGGTTCTGGGCACGTTTGGCATCGAGCACTGCACCGTGCAGCCCGAGCTCCTCCCCGGGCCCGCCGGCGGGTCCGTCTGCAGTCTGCGCTGCGGGAAACAGTGTGCGGAGAAGCTCTGCTGTTCCCAACAACTGGCGGATGATGATTCCCAGAGTCCCAAGACGGAGAGTCCCGTGTGTGTCCAGGAGCAGAACTGCTCTCCAGCGCCTCAGAGTGGAGATGAGATGATCAGAGATATGGTTATTGAGAACACATACCTGTGATTTAACGAGGTTGTTGGTGTTTTTGTGAACTGGCAGCAGTTGCAATTACTGTACATGATGGAGACTCCAGCAATAAACACTTTTAATATATGCAACAATAGTTGAGTTTATCAATACGGAGGAGGCTCAAGTCAAGTCACCTTTATTTATATAGAGCTTTTTACAATACATAGGGTAAATTGCCCAAATGTGGGATATTTTTTGGATTTCAGACTTCTGTGACATATTTGCGATGTTTTGCCAAAACATTAAATCCACACCAATACCATTTAAAAGGATGTGTCCTATACAAATCAAAAGAGAAAATTCAGATAACACATTCATAAGAGGAATTATAGACATATTAGTGCTCTTATGCAAGTCGTCTAAGACAATCTGCAGCTTTCTAATGTGGGACAGTTGTGTCCCTAATGTGGGAGAGTTGTGTCCCTAATGTGGGACAGTTGTGTCCCTAATGTGGGACAGTTGTGTCCCTAATGTGGGACAGTTGTGTCCCTAATGTGGGACAGTTGTGTCCCTAATGTGGGACAGTTGTGTCCCTAATGTGGGACAGTTGTGTCCCTAATGTGGGACAGCTGTGTCCCACAGTTATAAAGCCATAAAGCCAATAAAGCCAATTTTCGCTATAAAGCCAAAACAATCTCTGTTACCGTAAATTGTATGTTTATCTCTGTAAAGCTGCTTTGAAACAATCTCCATTGTTAAAAGCGCTATATAAATGAAGATGACTTGACTTGACAGTTGTGTCCCTAATGTGGGACACTGAAATGTCTATGTTGCTATGATAAAAGACCCTTGATTCATGTAGAATAGTAAAATCTTCTTAAGTCAGTAATTCTCTTGGTTATGGATGGATGAAACATGGATAACTGAACATCATCAGACAGATAATACAATATTATAGTTCAGTTTACTTAACAACAAACACAAGCAAAATAACAGCAACAACCACAGCTTGAACTTTAATTCATAAACGTGGTGTTAACTCCAGTTGAAGACGTTTAATCGTAACTGTCTTTTTCTCCAACATGAACTGCCTTAATAAAAACAAACGGAGGTTTACTTTGGACTCCTACAATAGGCTATATGCACGCATAAGTTCCGCATTTGACGCAAGGATGCTCGTCAGTTTCCGGTTGGGGAGATTAAAGCGGAGGAAAACCGAGGAAAACGGGATTATGGCAGAGTCTTCAAAATTTACTGTCCTCCCGTCTTTGAAACGAAACTTTCATACGTTTAGATGTAATTTTATATATAGTTATGTTTATTTAATATAATTTTAAAAAGAAGCATAAACACAACGAGGTGTGTCTGTTTTGTCAGTTTTTGTGACTAACGCTTCTTTAGTATAACCATGGAGTATACAATTCAATATAAATTCTCGGTATTGCATTGGACTCTATGATCGGCGGAAGTTATCGAGCATCCTTGACCTTCACCGGAAATACCGCCGTGCATAGAGCCCATTGTGGAAACAAGCAGTCGTTAAAGGAGTAGTTCACTTTTAAAAAAACTTTTGCTGATAATTTACTCACCCCCATGTCATCCAAGATGTCCATGTCTTTCTTTCTTCAGTCGAAAAGAAATTAAGGTTTTTGATGAAAACATTCCAGGATTTTTCTCCATATAATGCACTTTACTGGCTACCAAACGGTTCAAGGTCCAAAAGACAGTTTCAGTGCAAACTGCAAACTGTTCAAAGGGCTTTAAACGATTCCAGACGATAAATAAAGGGTCTTATCAAGCGAAACGATCGCTCATTTAAAAAAGAAATAACAAAGTTTAAGTTTTATAAGCTCAAATGCCCGCCTTGCTCTGTTCTGTGTAACTCTCCTGTTCGAACTCGTTCGACTCAAAAAAAAGATTCGTTCATTTTGATGAACGAGTTCGAACAGGAGAGTCACACAGAACAGAGCAAGGCGGGCATTTGAGCTTATAAAACTTAAACTTTGTTATTTCTTTTTTAAATGAGCGATCGTTTCGCTTGATAAGACCCTTATTCATCGTCTGGAATCGTTTAAAGCCCTTTGAACCGTTTGCAGTTTGCACTGAAACTGTCTTTTGGACCTTGAACCGTTTGCTGCCCAGTAAAGTGCATTATATGGAGAAAAATCCTGGAATGTTTTCATCAAAAACCTTAATTTCTTTTCGACTGAAGAAAGAAAGACATGGACATCTTGGATGACATGGGGGTGAGTAAATTATCAGCAACATTTTTTTTTTTAAAGTGAACTAATCCTTTAATGTCCTCCATCATCCATTGTTCTCGCACAGCTTTCGTGGCTAAGATGAACACTTACTGGACTGAAGTTACTTACAGTAGTTTACTTGATTATCCATACATTATTATTTTTATTTTATTAAAAAATAATAATTTTAAAATGTGTTTCAAATATGATCATCAGGCTTTTGAGGAAGGTTTATTTCTTCATCTCTCAATCATTGTATTATTGCATTGCATTTTAAAACTACAGAGCTTTGATCATAAAACTAATCATTTAAAAAATTTTTTTTTTTTTTTTTTTTTTTACTAATCATTTTAATATCTTCTTACCTAGACTAGTATTGAGAGATATAGAGTGACAACTGATATTTATATCCGTTGTGTCGTGCCTTCTTCACGATATGCCTTATAGCTTACCTTACTGTTATAAAGATATAATTTATTCACATTACAAACATCAGAACTTCATCTTACTCTCTGGTCATAAATATTAGCATTTGCACCAAATTGCATATTTTGCTCAGTTAGTTCCTCTAAATAAAAAGGTTTTTTTTTCCCCCCTCTTGAACTTCATATTCTCACTATATCATATTAAATGAGCAATGAAAGCCTGAGGTATTAAATATGATACTCAAAAGATACTAAAAAATATTATGTATATATATATGACTATTATTTAAAATGTCAGGCTTTACAGAGTTAAAATGTATAGGGACAAAAATGTTGCAATATATTGCATTGTATCAAGTTTAGTATGGGTTTGTATTTTTGCATAAATGGATGGGATGTGTTTTTATATAAGAAAAAATGCCCCTTGAAATTAGGCAAGTATTGAAAATAAAATGTAGGCCTACATACAATCTCTCACATTCTCAGTTACTATGTAGCTCATAATAAATGACTTTACTTTTGCGCCATTTACACTCTTGTGGAGTTTGAAACACTAAGCAAAGTAAATGTAATAAATTCCATGCATCATCTTCTGATACTAATAAATTGCATTTTAATACACCTCCTGGATGCATTCATTTCTTCATGAAGTGCTTTGAAAACACAAAAGATGTGACCATGCGGATGAAGATTATTGCCCTCTGAAGTCATGCAAATATTTTTGGAGGCAAAAAATATAATTCTTTAAAGGAAAGCAGACATAAAATACCCTTTTACTGATGCTACAAGTTTGCAAAAGCCACCTTAGAAAGCGAGGGACCTTGTTGAGACTCCAGCTGCAAACAAAGTAACTCATGCCATGTAATATGTAGGTTAAGGTTTTTTTTTTTTTTTTTTTTTAGTTAATCATATACAATTATATTTACTTACATTTTGTTGTACCTTTTGTTTCTTCTGTTTATATGCTAATAATAATAATAATTAAAGCTGCATAGCAGCATTTAGCGGGGTTCAAGCAGTTAAGGCCTTTTAAGGCCGTTAAGCACAAAAGCATCAAAAGACATTAAGTTTTATGTAGTAAGCATGATTTACCATGATATACTACATTTCAGTGTGATTTTTCATGATTTACCATGTTCCAGTATGATTTACCATGTTCCAGTATGATTTTCCATAGTTTACCTTGATATACCATGTTCTAGGATGATTTACCATGATATAGCACATTCTAGAATAATTTACCAGGATTCTAGCATGATTTACCTTTTTTACTATGATTTACCATGTTTCTGGCCAATGCTGAAAGCTGATAAAAAGATTAGAAATGTGTAATGCTGCTGCTCCATCTAGTGGACAACAGTGCTATTACAGCCTACTTATACAATATGCCATGTTTTTCATATAATTTAATCTACACACGCTCATTCTGATGTAGATAGAGACATTTGGAACTTCAGGATCCAATGTGACTCAATTGTCACTTCAATAGATGATTTTTGACTAAATGTTTTTGTAAATGTTAAAATAGTGAATTTATAAAGTCTAAATATTAATTATAGTTGAGTAGTGTGACAAAATGACTTTTTTTAAACAGCAGGGGGCAGTAAAATACCACTTATTGGCTTAATAGCCCATTATGTTCATATAATGTTCACCTTTTTAACTGTTATACAGGCATATTTTGTCCAATCTGTCCGAAAATTTTCATGATTATTTAGAGTCATGGCCCACATGTTCAGACTTGTTTTTAATAACATCTGAGCATTCATTGAAGAGATATAGGCTTTCGGGGACGCTCAGTCAAGGCTATACATTGAAGTGACCCTATTATAGCCATCAAAATGCAGAAGTTCAACCTTTTCTGATAATTATTGCTCTAGAGAGTCCAGAGAATTGTACTGCACTAGTTTTGACCGTTATTATATTAAATTTATATGATCTTAGATGGAACAAACCATTTACAGTCAATACTGGCAATTTACCATAGGGAATACATGGTTTTTAAGATTTTTAACAGTTATAGCGCCAGCTATTGTCCGATCTCCATGAAACTTTGCATGCTTGTTAATGATGTTATGCCACATATGCTCACCAATTTTTGTAAAGTTCTGAGTTTTTATTTATGATTTATAGGCTTTTGAGTGTATTTTGCCACGCCCATTTTCTAAATGACCCTGTTATAGTGAACCAAAGGGCAAAGTTCAACTTTTTTTTGATAATTATTAATCTAGAGAGTCCAGAGAATTGTCCTAGACTGGTCTGGTTCCGATCGGGCGAAAAACCTAGGACTAGTTCGCAAAAGTAGGTTTTTAACATTTTCGTGAATATTTAATGAACAATTTGATTGACAGCAATGGTTCTAGAGGCAAAGTTGTTCAACATGAGGAGATCTATCAACTGATATGCATATTTTGGGGATGTGTGCAACACCACGTGATTACAGAGCCGTAGAACTCGTTAGCGCCAACTAGTGGCCGATTTTTTTCAAAACTCTTACAGACCTCTTGGGCCATGAGTCGAACATGCCCATCGAGTTTCGTTCCGATCAGCCTTCGTTAACCTCGTCTCATAGGTGCTCAAACTTCATTGGCCGATGGCGGCCATGTTTTTTGAGATACGCCAATGTCCTCATACACGTACATGGGGCCTTGGTCCAAGACACTGCATACCAAATTTCAAGTCAATCGGACTAACGGTCAGGTGGCCACACCCCCTTTTATGTTTTTTTAATGTTATAGCACCACCTAGTGATAGATCGACGCGTTTTTTTTACTGTGACCCCAGACTGTCCTCATACACATGTGTGTCAAGTTTGGTGAAGATATCTCATTTACTTCTTGAGTTATAGCCATTTTAGTAAAATAGGCTCCTCCCACAACGATCATTTTGCGCCCCCTAGCAACCGGAAATCGAAATGTCAACTTTTTTTTGATAATTATTGATATTCAGACTCCAGAGAACATTTCTGCACTGGTTTGGTTCCGATCGGGCGAAAAACCAGGGACTAGTTCGCAAAAGTCGTTTTTCAACAAAATTCAAAATGGCGGAAAAATTTGCATACCGGAAATGAAATCGGAAATATACATTTTTTTCAGTATCCATTCAGCTTTCCAATGATATAAGACACTTGAGTCTACGACATACGGCCTAGGAGTTATGAGCCATTTCGCGCAATTGATTGTTATAGCGCCACCTATGGGCCAATCGGGCTCATAATTTGATAACCTCTCCTCGATTTTTGTACTACCATCTGACAAAGTTTCAGAGCTCCAGCATTTACGGTTTGGGCTGCACGATGCGTTTTAGGGGAGAATAATAATAAAATAAAGCTGCAAGCAGCATTTTAGCGGTGTTCAAGCAGTTAAGGCCTTTCAGGCCGTTAAGCACAAAAGCATCAAAATACATTAAGTTTTATGTAGCAAGCATGATTTACCATGATATACTACATTTCAGTGTGATTTTTCATGATTTACCATGTTCCAGTATGATTTACCATGAATCTAACATGATTTTTCCATAGTTTACCTTGATATACCATGTTATAGGATGATTTACCATGATATAGCACATTCTAGAATAATTTACCAGGATTCTAACATGATTTACCTTTTTTACTATGATTTACCATGTTTCTGGCGTTATTTACCATGATTTACCACGTTGATAGCAATTATGTGAAGCATAAGAACAATTGAAGTGATAAACGCTGACAAAATAAGAATGTGTTATAATAGTAATTGTTATGTAAGTGATTTTATAGTGTCTATATACAAAAAAAGACTATTAATAAGAAGAGTGGCCAGCAGAGGGCAGTAGAAGACCACTTATTGGCTCACTTTCATTTTCAACTACTTTGTTTCTCCAGTATTCTCCACTGAAGCAAACCATTTTTTTCATGTTAACTCCATAATGCCTGCTTACACACACACACACACACACACACACACACACACACACACACACACACACACACACACACACACACACACATTTTTGGGATATGTTATTGTGAAAATCATATAAAAAAAGATTAAAAATATCTAATGCTGCTGCTTCATCTAGTGGACAACAGTGCTATTACAGCCTACTTATACAATAGGCCATGTTTTCATATAATTTAATCTACACACGCTCATTCTGATGTAGATAGAGACATTTGGAACTTCAGGAGCCAATGTGACTCAATTGTCACTTCAATAGACGATTTTTGACTAAATGTTATTGTAAATGTTAAAATAGTGAATTTATAAAGTCTAAATATTAATTATAGTTGAGTAGTGTGACAAAATGACTTTTTTTAAACAGCAGGGGGCAGTAAAATACCACTTATTGGCTGTTAGCCTTTTTTCAAGCAGTTATAGCTGTTCTTGACCTTTTTTTTAAGAAGCTATGAGCATTTATTGAAAAGATATTGCCTTTCGGTCAAGGTTACATATTGAATTGACCCTATTATAGTCATACAAATGAAGAAGTTATACATTTTTCTATAATTATTGTTCTAGAGAGTACAGAGCAATAGATGAATTTTGACAAAATGTGATTGTAAATTTTAAAATAATGATTTAATAAAGTCTAAATATCAATTATATATAAAAAATATTAGAGAGTAGTATGATGAAATGACAGCAGGGGGCAGTAAAATACCACTTATTGGCTGTTATAGCCATCCAAGCTGTTATAGCTGTTATAGCCATCCGATTTACACTCTATTATAGCCATCCAAATGAAGTAATTATACCTTTTCTGATAATTATTGATCTAGAGAGTCCAGATAATTGTACTGCACTGGTTTTAAACATTAAGATATGAAAATTATACGATCATAGATGGAAAAGACCATTTACAGCCAATACAGGCAATTTACCATAGGAAATACATGGTTTTAAAGCTTTTCAACAGTTATAGCGCCACCTATTGTCCGATCTCCATGAAACTTTGCATGCTTCTTCACCATGGTATGACACATATGCTCATCAATTTTTGTGAAGTTCTGAGTTTTTATTTATGATTTATAGGCTTTTGAGTGTGTTTTGACACACCCCTTTTATAAATGACCCTGTTATAGCGAAGCAAAGGGCAAAGTTCAACTTTTTTTCGATAATTATTGATCTAGAGTGTCCAGAGAATTGTCCTAGACTGGTCTGGTTCCAATCGGGCGAAAAACCAGGGACTAGTTAGCAAAAGTAGGTTTTTAACATATTCGTGAATATTTAATGAACAGTTTGATTGACAGCAATGGTTCTAGAGGCAAAGTTGTTCAACATGAGGAGATCTATCAAATGATATGCATATTGTGGGGATGTGTGCAACACCACGTGATTACAGAGCCGTAAAACTCGTTAGCGCCAACTAGTGGCCGATTTCTTTCAAACTCTTACAGACCTCTTGGGCCATGAGTCGAACATGCCCATAGAGTTTCGTTCCGATTGGCCTCCGTTAACCTCGTCTCACAGGTGCTCAAACTTCATTGGCCGATGGCGGCCATGTTTTTTGAGATACGCCAATATCCTTTTACACATACATGGCACCTTGGACCAAGACACTGCATACCAATTTTCAAGTCAATCGGACAAACGGTCAGGTGGCCACACCCCCTTTTATGTTTTTTTAATGTTATAGCGCCACCTAGTGTTAGATCGACGCGGTTTTTTTACTGTGACCCCAAACTGTCCTCATACACAAGTGTGTCAAGTTTGGTGAAGATATCTCATTTACTTCTTGAGCTATAGACGTTTAAGTAAAATAGGCTCCTCCCACAACGTTCATTTTGCGCCCCCTAGCAACCGGAAATCGAAATTTCAACTTTTTTTTGATAATTATTGATATTCAGACTCCAGAGAACATTTATGCACTGGTTTGGTTCCAATCGGGCGAAAAACCAGGGACTAGTTCGCAAAAGTAGGTTTTGGACAAAACCGGAAATAGCGGAAAAATTTGCATACCGGAAATGAAATCGGATATACGTTTTTTAAGTCAAGAGGCTGCTCCCTCTGGCTATATTTTTCTTATATCCTATTCTGTAAAAAAGGAAGTTATGCAGCCATGTTTGTTTGTAAATCTTGATATTCAATAAAAAAAGAAAAAAAAAAAAAAAAAAAAAAATTTTAAGTCAAGAGTCCAGCTTTCCAATGATATACGACACTTGAGTCTACGACATAGGGTCTAGGAGTTATGATCACTTTCGCGTTTTTGTTGCTATAGCGCCACCTATGGGCCAATCGGGCTCATACTCTCTCAACCTCTCCTCGATTTCTGTGCTACCTTAATCCCAAATATCAAGTCTCTAGCTCTTACGGTTTGGTCTGCACGATGCGTTTTAGGGCGGAATAATAATAATAATAAAAATCAGCACAAATACAATAGGTTTTCAGCACTTCGTGCTTGAACACCTAATAATAATAATAAAAATCCTTACAATTACAATAGGGTTTCAGCACTTCGTGCTTGAACCCCTAATAATAAATGTTGCACATCAGTCTCTTTACGTTATGTAGTCAATGACTTTTATTTTGAAATACATACAGCGCCTTTCCACTTCCGCAAGTACTTTGCAACATCCGCTCTTTCGCTGTTTCCTTACAACGGTTACTACAATGAAATAGCTTTTATCATGAAGAAATCATAAATACCTACTTAAATATCCAAAACAATATGAATTGGTTGCCTTGAAAACGATGATAATGGCGAGGATTGGAGAAATTATTCATCTTAACGTCGGGGGAAAAAGGTTTGTGTATTGAAGCAACTGTATATCCTGCTCGAAACAAGACACATACTTATTAACACACTTAAGAACTGTTAGAAACTTGTAGTCTTCATAACAGCTAGTGTGTGTTGTAGTATTATCCCGCTTACTGTAACAGTAATGAACATCTGCATACCTATAGAAGCAGCAGAAAGGCCTGACCTGTGACCCTGAAACCGCTTTTTCTTTTTCTCATTCTGTCTGGACATAAACGCAGGTTCAGCACCTCCAGACAGACTCTGACATGGGTCCCGGACTCCTTTTTCTCAAGGTTTGTGTGTCAGATCAAGCTAAAACAGATCAAATCATTCCTTCTTCTATGAATACTAATCATGCAAGGGCTTTTATAACGTAATAAGGTTTTAGAATAATAACAACTGACCACACTGATTTATTATCTGTGTCATAGGTCTTATTAGGACAATCAAAAATTGATAATATGACAGCTTTTTTTTCTCAATAGCTGCGTACATAATAACTAAGTATTGTTTTTTTCTGTCTAGTTTATTAAGTGGACGGATATCAACACTTAAAGATGAGACTGGAGCGGTAAGGTTTACTTAATAATAAATGTTGCAGATCAGTCTGTCTTTACAAAGAGTCTACTCTTAGAGCCATTTAAATGTTCACAATGTAAAATTTGTGTTTTCAGATTTTCATAGACAGAGATCCATCTCTGTTTGCGCCCATTCTCAACTTCCTGCGCACTAAAGAGCTTCACCCCCGGTAAAACACACAGTCTGTATTTTTTTATAAATGTGTCAGATAGTCTGTTAACTGCGATATGGATTATTTAACACTGTGAAATGGAGTCTCTTATTATAGAAACTGTTTTTATGGCAGGTCAATAGAAGTTCACTTATTAATGCACGAGGCAGAGTTCTATGGGATCACGCCGCTGGGTAAGATCAGGCTGCGCTGCCATTATTCTCATGGTTTTATCCCACATATATATATGTTTATTAAAGAAATGAAGGTTTAGTGTGTGTTTTCCTCCTCAGTGAGAAAGCTGCAGTTGTGTGATGAGTTGGATCGCTCCTCCTGTGGGAACGTGTTGTTTAATGGATACTTGCCGCCTCCAGGTACAGAAAACACCAACTCTGACAACGTATAACAGGACAGCATCTTTCAGTCATGAAGACGTGTGTGTGTGTGTTCCAGTGTACCCAGTGAAGCGCAGGAACAGGCACAGCGTGGCAGGACCCCAGTTCATGGGTGGCCGTTCGGGGCCCGTGGAAAGAGCCCCTGTGAGGAGGAGTAACACAATGCCACCCAACCTGGGCAACGCTGGCATACTGGGCAAAGCCGTCATTGAGGAGCGGGTGCCAGGTGTTCTATTCTACTTACACTTTCTCCTCTTCTCTGTTCGATTCTGTTCCACATAATGTTATATTCCATTCTGCTGTTCTATTCTGTTCTAATATATTTACTTTTATCTATTCTATTTTCTATTCTACTGATTAACCCTCTGGGGACGGATTGGGCGGTACCGCCCAAAATGCCATACTTTTACAAATGTGTAAATATCTTAAAAACTATTAATGATAGAGAGGTGCGGTCTTTTTTACCGTCTTCCTTAGATTCCGCTGAAAACAGTGATAACTTACCCGGCTTGTAAATATACACACTTCCTTGTTGCGCAATACCACAATGTAAAAGGCCAATGAAATCGTTGTTGTTTGGCAGATTCCGCAAGCAACAACCAATGGAAAAATTGCAGATGGAGAAATATTTTTCTTACCCAATCAGAGGAAGGTTACCATGACGTATCTAGCAAATCAGAGTACTCTGTAGCCTTGCAAGGGGTGGTACTATATAGTTAGGGATATGACGCAAACAGCGTTGAATGGAGAGAAGGAGAGAGAGCGAACGGAGGCTTACGGAGCGGATTATCAGAGAAATATGAGAGAGAGACAGAACAATTATAATATATATATATATATATATACATACAATTATAGCAGTATTTATTGTTTTAGCACTTTTATGATGGCAAGCAGTAAACGATTTACGGTAGAACAAGCTCTGGAACAATTACTGGAGAGTGACGAGGAGAAAGCATTGCTTAGAAAATTCTAAGCATTCCTAAGAAAAACACCTGGGACTATTTGTAAATAAAGTTGCATTTTTCATTGTTCTTTACACATTTTATTTAACAATTACACATGTCTGTCAAGCAAAGGCTTTGACAAATATATTTTTTGTTAAAAAACTGTTCACTATTGTTGTATGATGTGTGATTTTCAGAAATAAATGACAAAAATCGAATTTCCATTTTGGAAATTCTCTAGTTTATTGTACATTTTTCACTCATACGTCCTTTATAAACACATTACATGCATGCTTATGTTAGCTTAGGGTCTTCTGAATCCATGTATACCAAACACATAGTGTTCCATCTCCATTACATATGGTTTATAAGCCCAAATGTAAAAATAGAGAAAACGGACCAAAAAGGGCTTAGTCCCCAGAGGGTTAACTTTGGCCTACTCAGCTCTATTTTGTTATTTCTTTTCCTACTCTGATTTACTCTATTCTGTAGTTTATTCTATTTTATTTTACTTTAAATTCTTTATTTTTTCTAAAAAAAAAAATCTATTTTGCTCGATTCTACTCATTTCTACTCTATCATTCTATTTTACTCTATTACTCAGGTTAACTCTACTCACTTTCATTCTATCCTACTAATTTCTATGCATGGTTTATGCTGTTCTGTTTTATTCTATTTCACTTCGACCTGGCTATTCTTCTTTTAGTCTGTTTTTCAGCTCTTCTACTCTGATTTGCTCTATTCTATTTGATTTTGTTCTTCTCTGATCAGTTTTGTAACATTATACTCAGTTCTTCTCATTTTTACGCTGGTTTAGTTGAATCTACTGGTTTATTCTATTCTGTGCTATTTCATTCTGCTAATTTCTACTCTGATTTGCTTTATTCTATTTTATTCTACTCATTTCTGTTTTACTTGACACATTTCTACTCTTCAGTCCTACATCTCTGGTTTTACTCAGTTCTGCTCTAATCAGTTCTATTCCATTATACTATGGTTTATTTTATTCTGTTTTATTCTACTGGTTGGTTCTATTTTACTTTCCAAATTTCTACTCTGATTTGTTCTATTCTACAGGTAAAACTCGAAAAATTAGAATATCGTGCAAAAGTTCATGTATTTCAGTAATTCAAATTAAAAAGTGAAACTAAAATATTTAGTATATATATGCATGATTATACTTTTCAGAGGGCCGACATTTCTAAAATTGATTTCATGTAATATTCTACTTTTCTGCGATTTTGATTTTGGGGTTTTCATAAGCTGTAAGCCATAATCATCAATATTATAACCTTTGCACGATATTCTAATTTTTCGAGTTTCACCTGTATTTTATTGTATTCAGTTCTGTTTTATTTGACTAATTTCTACTCAGTAAGTCATACTTATCTTCTCAGCTCTGGTTTATTCTATTCTGTGCTATTTCATTCTCCTAATTTCTACTCTGATTGGCTTTATTCTATTTTATTCTACTCATTTCTGTTTTACTTGACACATTTCTACTCTTCAGTCCTACATCTCTGGTTGTACTCAGTTCTGCTCTAATCAGTTCTATTCCATTATACTATGGTTTATTTTATTCTGTTTTATTCTACTGGTTGGTTCTATTTTACTTTCCAAATTTCTACTCTGATTTGTTCTATTCTACAGGTAAAACTCGAAAAATTAGAATATCGTGCAAAAGTTCATGTATTTCAGTAATTCAAATTAAAAAGTGAAACTAAAATATTTAGTATATATATGCATGATTATACTTTTCAGAGGGCCGACATTTCTAAAATTGATTTCATGTAATATTCTAATTTTCTGCGATTTTGAGTTTGGGGTTTTCATAAGCTGTAAGCCATAATCATCAATATTATAACCTTTGCACGATATTCTAATTTTTCGAGTTTCACCTGTATTTTATTGTATTCAGTTCTGTTTTATTTGACTAATTTCTACTCAGTAAGTCATACTTATCTTCTCAGCTCTGGTTTATTCTATTCTGTGCTATTTCATTCTCCTAATTTCTACTCTGATTTGCTTTATTCTATTTTATTCTACTCATTTCTGTTTTACTTGACACATTTCTACTCTTCAGTCCTACATCTCTGGTTGTACTCAGTTCTGCTCTAATCAGTTCTATTCCATTATACTATGGTTTATTTTATTCTGTTTTATTCTACTGGTTGGTTCTATTTTACTTTCCAAATTTCTACTCTGATTTGTTCTATTCTACAGGTGAAACTCGAAAAATTAGAATATCGTGCAAAAGTTCATGTATTTCAGTAATTCAAATTAAAAGGTGAAACTAAAATATTTCTTATATATATCCATGATTATACTTTTCAGAGGGCCGACATTTCTGTATTTAAAATCCTTTTTTTTAAATTGATTTCATATAATATTCTAATTTTCTGAGATTTTGAATTTGAGGGTTTTCATAAGCTGTAAGACATAATCATCAATATTATAACCTTTGCACGATATTTAAATTTTTCGAGTTTCACCTGTATTTTATTGTATTCAGTTCTGTTTTATTTGACTAATTTCTACTCAATTAGTCATACTTATCTTCTCAGCTCTATTTTACTCAAATAATGTTTATCCTACTTTACTCATTTGCACTCTGATTTGTTGCATTCTGTTTTTTTTTTTCAATTCTATGGTTTAATCCATTATATTTGACTCATTTACTGATTTAAGGTGTACATACACCCTTAGTTCATGCCAGTTTAAAATGCTAATTTCTAATCATTTCTCTCCTGGTGTGCTCTGTGTTGTGTAGGTCCGGTCTCTGATCCAGGCATGGTCAGAATCATATGTGGTCATCATAACTGGATTGCTGTGGGCTATGCCCAGTTTGTGGTCTGTTACAGGTAGGGTTTCTATGTGAACGACACGTCACCAATAGAAATGATTTGGATGCACATACGGGCCGCTTTACAACACGCATCACTCATGCTCAGGGTGAAAGAGTCCACTGGATGGCAGCAGGTCTTCACCAGCCCTCGGCTCGACTGGGTGATTGACAGGGTGGCTCTGAATGCCAAGGTCATGGGCGGCTCACTGGGAGACAACGATAAGATGGTTGCGGTGGCATCGGGCACTGAAATCATCCTGTGGGCGATCTGCCCTGATGGCAATGGCAATGAAATTGGTACGGTCTCATTTCATAAAATGCATTTTTTTTGCTAATATTTGGAAAGCTCCTGATCTGTGTGTGTTTGTTCTGATCCACAGGTGTGTTCAGTTTGAATGTGCCGGTCGAGGCTTTGTTCTTCGTGGGAAACCAGCTCATTGCCACCAGTCACACGGGTAAAGTGGGGGTTTGGAACGCCGTCACCAAACACTGGCAGGTACGCCGAGCTCCGGGACGGTTCGGGGTTAATTTGATGTGATTAGACATTTGAAATGAAACACTTACACTGAGGGAAGTGCTCGATTCCTGATGTCTTCACCTCTCTGTGCAGAACCAGGATGTTGTTCCCATCAACAGTTGTGACACAGCCGGATCTTTCCTCATTTTGGGATGTAATAATGGATCTATTTACTATATAGGTAAAGTGACCATCAAACCGGAATAATCTATTGTTTAATGTTTGTCAAGTTTTGATGCATAAAAAAGCGCTAACAGAGTAAAAGACAAATAATACAACAAACTATATAAAACAAAACAATATTAAACAAGACCACACCCTGATTAGCATCTGAGAGGTTCCTGTCCCGCCATTGACAGTGCGTCTATTCACCCAAAACTCTGATGCTTCAAAACAACCATAACGAAATTGTAAAATAAATCCATATGAATTATGACTGTTTAATCCAAGCCTTCATCATCTTTCAGATGTCCAGAAGTTTCCGTTGCGGATGAAGGATAATGATTTGTTGGTGACTGAGCTGTATCGAGATCCCACTGAAGATGCTATCACTGCTCTGAGTGTCTACCTGACGCCCAAAACAAGTAACACACACACACACACACCAGCCTCGGATATGCTCTCACACATCAGCCTCAGATATCCTCACATACACACACACACACACACACACCAGCCTCGGATATGCTCACACACACACACACACACTAGCCTTAGATATGCTCTCACACATCAGCCTCAGATATCCTCACACACACAAGCCTCAGATATCCTCACACACACACACACACACACACACACACACACACACACACACACACACACACACACACACACACACACACACACACACACACACACACACCTGCCTCAGATATTATAAGTGTGTGCTGCAGTTTTGTCGTCTGCCGCTTTAAATGCTCGAGCTCTTTAAAGCAAGATGGATTCTGATTGGCTGTCAATGTTTATGGGGAAAAAATAATTCTGAAAGGGATTGTTTCTCTGTGCCATTATCGTTATAGTTGTGGCGTGGACTCTGCTATTCTGTTAAATTTAGAACGATTCGTAGAACTATCTTTATCATTGTAGTTAAGTGTACTTCAGTGATTTCATTAATATTATATTATCTGCTAGTTTTTAGATTTGAAGCATAAGTGCACATTTAAGCACACTTGTTTTCCTCTGGGCTGTTTCATGTATGTGATGATGATGAATGTTTGCTCAGGTGACAGTGGGAACTGGATCGAGATCGCGTACGGCACCAGTTCAGGCTCAGTGCGTGTCATAGTTCAGCATCCAGAGACGGTGGGATCCGGTCCACAACTCTTCCAGACCTTCTCTGTTCACCGCAGTCCTGTGACCAAGATCATGCTGTCTGAGAAACACCTCATCTCTGGTGAGGAGGCCGTGTCTCGTATGCACTCGAGCTCGTTTATGTGTGACCCTGGTCCACACAACCAGTCACGAGTCGCACGGGTGTATTTGTGGCAATAGCCAACCATTTTGGGTGGTTGCTAGGGTGTTCTGGGTGGTTGTTAGGCAGTTGCTAGGGTGTTTTGGGTGGTTGCTATGGTGTTGCTAGGCGGTTGCTAGGGTATTCTCAGTGGTTGCTATGGTGTTGCTAGGCGGTTACACACTAACTCGCTCACTAACTCACACACACACACACACACACACACATACACACTAACTCGCTCACACACTCACTTACACACTCAGAGTTTATATGAGTTTAGAGTTTATAAGTTTAAATGAAGTGAATTTAGTAATTTGAATTAAACTCTAAACTCATGTCTACAATACATTGTATGGGTCAAAATTATCGATTTTTCTTTTAATGCCAAAAATCATTAGGATATTAAGTAAAGATCATGTTCCATAAAGATATTTTGTAAATTTAAATATTAAAAATATATTTTTGTCAGTGGATGCCGCAAAATCGTGAACATAAATGGACAACTTTAAAGGCAATTTTCTCAATGTTTTTTTTTTATTTTATTGCACCCTCAGATTCCAGATTTCCAAATATTGTCCTATCCTAACAAACCATACATCAATGGAAAGCTTAATTATTCATATTTCAGATGATGTATAAATCTAAATTGTCTATCTAAATAATTGACCCATGAGACTGGTTTTGTGGTCCAGGGTCACATATGCAGAATACAGTGGGGATAAGAAGTGTAAAATAAAGTAATAAGCCACAACATATAAAAATGAATATTTTTATGGAGTAACCGTTTTATATAAATGAATTTAGTAAGTGTAGAACAGCTGAGGGCCGTTGTTAGACGCGGAGCGGAACGACTAAAACCCCCTTAGCTGTTCTACACTCACTGAAAAACACGGCTTCAAGGGGCTTATATAAAACGGTTTCTCCATAAAAATATTAATTTTAATATTTATTTTATTCATACATTAAACACCAGCAACAAAAAATATAACGTTATAACACATTTATTCCTCCGCCAAGCAATGTAGTTCCAGAGAGGTTGCCAAGCAACACAAGCAGCAACAAAGCATCACAAACGACAGTCGCGCAGTAACACTGATGTAATGCGCTCACAGGTGTGTGTGTGTGTGTGTGTAACACTGATGTAATGCGCTCACAGGTGTGTGTGTGTGTGTGTGTAACACTGATGTAATGCGCTCACAGGTGTGTGTGTGTGTGTGTAACACTGATGTAATGCGCTCACAGGTGTGTGTGTGTGTGTGTGTAACACTGATGTAATGCGCTCACAGGTGTGTGTGTGTGTGTGTGTAACACTGATGTAATGCGCTCACAGGTGTGTGTGTGTGTGTGTGTAACTGATGTAATGCGCTCACAGGTGTGTGTGTGTGTGTGTAACACTGATGTAATGCGCTCACAGGTATGTGTGTGTGTGTGTGTGTGTGTGTAACACTGATGTAATGCGCTCACAGGTGTGTGTGTGTGTGTGTAACACTGATGTAATGCGCTCACAGGTGTGTGTGTGTGTGTGTGTAACACTGATGTAATGCGCTCACAGGTGTGTGTGTGTGTGTAACACTGATGTAATGCGCTCACAGGTGTGTGTGTGTGTGTGTGTAACACTGATGTAATGCGCTCACAGGTGTGTGTGTGTGTGTGTGTAACTGATGTAATGCGCTCACAGGTGTGTGTGTGTGTGTGTAACACTGATGTAATGCGCTCACAGGTATGTGTGTGTGTGTGTGTGTGTAACACTGATGTAATGCGCTCACAGGTGTGTGTGTGTGTGTAACACTGATGTAATGCGCTCACAGGTGTGTGTGTGTGTGTGTGTGTAACACTGATGTAATGCGCTCACAGGTGTGTGTGTGTGTGTGTGTAACACTGATGTAATGCGCTCACAGGTGTGTGTGTGTGTGTGTGTGTAACACTGATGTAATGCGCTCACAGGTGTGTGTGTGTGTAACACTGATGTAATGCGCTCACAGGTGTGTGTGTGTGTGTGTGTAACACTGATGTAATGCGCTCACAGGTGTGTGTGTGTGTGTGTGTGTGTGTGTGTATCACTGATGTAATGCGCTCACAGGTGTGTGTGTGTGTGTGTGTAACACTGATGTAATGCGCTCACAGGTGTGTGTGTGTGTGTGTGTGTGTGTGTAACACTGATGTAATGCGTTCACAGGTGTGCGTGTGTGTGTGTAACACTAATGTAATGCGGTCACGTGTGTGTGTGTGTTGAGTAATTTACAATGGCTTTTGAACGCGGCTCAACCATAGACTGTAAAAAAAGATGGACGATGCCCTTTTCGCTCTCTTCCATTGGTCAGAACTGAAGCCGCCAGTGTCCCGATATGGTGCTGACATCTTGTACTTGAGTCTGCGCAGTAAGTTAGCGATCTCGGGACCAGACCCGCGCAGTCGTGAGCAGGAAGTAAAGCCGCGAAATCAAGGCCCCGCCCTCACTCTCGCTGAATCAATCGCAAGCACACGCTCCCGCATTTTTATTTTATAAATTATAGAAGTTTAGATATTAAATTTAAAGCTCCAATCTCCTCAGTCCTTCGAAGATCCCGAAAAAAAGTCTGTTGGTGCTTCAGTGACTACTTTGCTCAGAGAACCTGTCAATCACAGCTGTCAATCATGACGTCACACCACCACCGCATTAAATAACTAACTAAAAACAAACTTATTTTAAAAACAAACACTTGAAATTACATCAGCGTGATAATAACTACAGTAAATTACAGAAACCATATTTGGAAAAACGATATTTGAAGTGTAATTGAATTGTTTAGTTGGTCTCACCGGTTTATGACCTATACTAGGACCGGCCACCGGGGGGGGGCGATCAAGACGCTTGGGCTGCACTTTTCAGGGCTTGTGCGGCACGCTTGGGCTCAACCAATCAGAATCAAGGACCTGAACTATCCGTTTTATAATCGCTAGCAGAGAGAATTGGCACTGTCTGGTTACTTCCGGGTTCTGGACTGGCTGCAGTAACACGTCTCTGTCCATGCGGGGGCGCTCGCGGGCGAGTGCAGAATGAATGGGAGTCTATGGGGTTTCACCCCCAGAAATCCACTTTTCTCAGGATGTAATTTTTTGTCAAGTAATTTGAAAGTTGCATTCAAAAGGGAGGGCTAAGATAATACACTCAGCTGAAAATTGCATTTTTAAGTTCACTTATCTGTTCTAAAAATCCGTTCAAAAATGTGATGACGTCACATAATAGCAGAATGCTAGCGTGTTCCGGCCAACAACGGCCCAACCTGTAAGAAATCAAAAGGACATAAGTACTCGTTCATTCGACTTTTGGCCTATAATTAGGGCTGGGCGCTGACAAACAGGAGAAACACTGCGCGCAACAATACAGTCAGAATCTGAATTGATACTGAATCCATTTAGGCTACCATGGACTTACTGTAACGTAAGCTTAGTAACGTTAATATTAACTGCACCATGAAATGTGGGATATACATATTGAATTGTATAATATTATTAATGTAGACAACGTATTAAATGACTAATGGAATATAATTACAGTATTTAATAATGTATTTAACTGTTAGGCTACTGTTTTTCATACAAATACCATAGAAACCATAGTTACATTTTGCCATGATAGTGAGGTGCTAAGTTATAGGCTGTGCCTGGCTTTATCTGTGGTTATCATGATCTAAATGCATGATACTGGATGACAAATGGTTAATTTTAATAAAACTCAAACAGTCAGAATATTACATTTTACCAAATAAAAATGTGGTCCTTAAAAAAAAAAAAAAAAAAAAAAAACAGATGTTACTGTTTTTTTTAATGAACATAAATTTAACATAGCAGTATTAGCTTGAGTTAGGATGTAGATTTACTGTCAACTCACTGTCAAATATGCATTTCGAGACAAAACATGTCATTTGAATATTGCAGCCTGCACTGCAAACTGTGCTGAAGAAATATTTTTCTATTCAGATATTTATTTTGTTAAAGGAAAAATGACAAATGTTTGAATGTTCTACCTCAGATTTTTAAAACCACAACGTTCTGGTTTATACAACTTTCACTTAGGAGCAAAAATCTGCCTTTAAACTTGAAAGAAATAAAGATTTGACATTTATCGTGATAATTATCGATATCGACTGATATAAAAAAAATTATCGTGATAATTTTTTTTGGCCATATCGCCCAGCCCTACCTATAATCTATATTGAACTTGAGGAATCAACAATAAAATCTATGTTGATTCAACGACAAGCAGGAGAAAGAGACACATTAACCGTTTAACTCCATAGACTCCCATTCATTCTGCACTCGCCCGCGATCACCTCCAGTGGAGCTCTAATGGAACTGCAACCGAGATGATACACAATGGGGCTAATAGGAAGTGCCAAGGCGGGCTCTGTCACTAGTAGAAATATATCTTCCTCCTCCTTGCAGTGTGTGCAGACAACAATCACGTCCGTACCTGGACGGTGACGCGCTTCCGAGGCATGATCTCCACCCAGCCCGGCTCCACTCCTCTCACCTCCTTTAAGATCCTCTCATTGGACGACATCGACGGTCATGGAGGCTGTGCTGCCGGCACCGAAATCGGTAAGAGGGAACGATCATTCTCAAAAATGACCCGCCTCACCCCTTTAGGACCAACAGTGTGGGAAATGTAAGATCTTTCAGTAGAAGTTTCTTATGCTCACCAAGGCTGGATTTATTTGATTATTTTTATAATTTAGAACAACTGTTTTATATTGTGATATATCGTGAACTGTAATTTATTCCTGTGATCAAAGCTGTATTTCCAGCATCATTACTCCAGTCTTCAGTGTCACATGATCCTTCAGAAATCACTCTAATACGATGATTTGCTGCTGAGTTATCAGTTATGATCAGTACTCAATTATTAATAATGTTTCTTATTATAATCAATGGTGCAAATAGTTTTTGCTGCTTAATATTTTTGTGGAAACTGCATTATTTTTGTTTAATATATAATAGAAAGTTGCATGAACGGCATTTATTTAATAACACAAAATAAATCTTTATCTATTTAATGTGTCCCTGCTGAATTAAAGTGTTAATTTCCTATACAGAAACACATTATATCAAACTTTTTAAATTGTACAGTTTATACAAATGAAGCAGCAACTGATTTCAATGATATTCATATTTCTTGAGCTGCAAATCATCATATTAGAGTGATTTCTGAAGGTAATGATGCTGGAAATTCAGCTTTGATTACAGGAATAAATACAATTTTATGATATATTAAAATAAATAATATAAAACAAATTCCCACTATTACTGATTTCTCTATTTTTGATCAAATAAAGGCAGTCTTGGGTGAGCAGAAGACACTTTCAAAGACGTATTATTATTCCAAAATTTTGACCGGTAGTGTATATTTATTTATTGTACTGGTCCATGGGTCAGACGTGTTGCTGCCGCTTGTTTGTGCAGGGCCATACGGGGAGCGTGACGAGCAGCAGGTGTTTATCCAGCGCGTGGTTCCTGACACGGATAAACTCTACGTAAGGCTCTCCTCCAATGGGAAGAGGTCAGTTTAATATAGCCACCATCAAACTGTTGTCTGCATGTTACACAAACTACATTTCCAACTAGGGCTGTCACTTTTGTGGAAAAAATTGCTGTTCGATTTTTGAGACATAATTGTTCATTGAATCGATTGTAAAATCTATTTTCCATGTCTAAAGACGTTTCCATTTTCAACACCAAATACAGGCAAATCCACGGACACCTAACAGGCATTAGGACGAACGTAAAGAGGCGCTTGAGACGCACACAAGTCAGCAATATTCCTGATGATTTATTGGCGTGACGTTTCGTGCACAATGACAAACAGGAGCACAACATTCAGAGATTGAGATTAATATTGGATGATTATAGTATCAAAATGATTAACACGTGCAAGCACACTTATCAATGAACTTGATACATGTTGCAGAAATGTTTTATCCATGCCTTTCAACTTGCGTGTGCAAAATTCAAAATTGAATGAATGTGTAGCAAATAGAGAGATTTTTGTGAATACAAATGTTTTCTTTTGTATTAGTGAATCATAATTTGTGCATGCAACACAGAAGATGTGCATGTGTGGATCAGGTGACGCGCGTGCATTCATTGACGTCTTTGACATCTCATTTGATTCATTTGGATTTTGAGACTTTCTTTTCGCTGTTTTTAAGCATTTCACAACCCACACACAAACAACTACAAATGAATAGGCCTGGTGCTAATTATTAATGTGTGCACAACTACCCATTTATTTGACAAATTCACAAATGTGCGTCGCTACATTTAAACTAATACAATACAACTTGTGTGTGCAAAATCCAGCATTTTGTACAAATAGAGACAAAGTTGTTAATACAAAACCTCAATTTTGTATTAATGTAGGCCAGAATTTGTGCATGCAACAAGTAAGATGTGCATTTGTGGATGAGGTGACACACGTGCATTCATTAGCTATGTTTCCATCCACACGTTTTTATCCGCATTAAGTGATATCGAATGAAAAATGCCTTATGGAAACAGTAAAATTCGATTGAAGTTCATGAAAATCGACTCAAATGAAATACGATCGGTCTCATCGGATTTTATCTTGATGGATATACGGCTTATGCGATAATCGCGGATGGAAACGTTATTATGGTGCGATCCATTTTGCCTAGTAAAACTTTGTTCGCAAATGTTGGCTTGAATGTTGTGCAATTCGGTGAGAAAATGAATGGAAAAACCTTAACATGTCTCAAATCAATTCGATATACCAATTTGATCGCAAAACAGCATGTGACGTCATTACGCACAGGTTTTTATCCGCTTTAAAGCCGTTTGATGGAAACACACTTTCACCAGCTTTATTCGCATGAGGTTTTTTACCGAACTTCAGATAATTCGATTGACAAGTGGATGGAAACATGGCTATTGACTCGTTTCTGAGATTAACACCTTCTGACCCGCCAAATGCGGGTACAAATAAACTTTGGCGGGAAACGCTGTCAAATCACGAGCCAATCTGTGTTTCTATGTTTATTCTCTTTGCTGGGGAAGTTCGTGTAAGCCAAATCTGCGTGGATTTAGCGCAAATACACAACTCGTGAGTCCTCATGACATATTAAATACAGCGTATAGCAGAATCTGCGCATTTCTGGCTTACTTGAACACACACGTCACTACACGACAGATAACGGCACGCTTGTTCACTTGCATTGAAGTAATAGCGAATTTTAAAAAGCATTTGGTTAACAGAAAAGACAGCATCCTACATGTTCTGTGTGCTGTGTTGATCTGTCCACCTAAAACACATTTTTGGTAAAAAAAAACAAAAGGCTTTTAAAATCAATTCCCTATTTTCGTTTTCGAAACTTGTGTTGGTTGGTCCGATCTAATGTGCAATCGATTTTCGAACGTAAAGTGACAGCCCTATTTCCAACAGTAAAGCTTGAAAACATGCGTGGACAACATATTGAGCAACACTTGTGGGAGGTGGTAACAGTGTTGCCAACTGTTTTCAAAGGAAAGTAGCTAAGGCCTTCCCTAAAAGTCGCTAGATGACGTCATACGTCAATTAGCATATTAATGACGTCATCGCGTCGTACTTGCGTTCTGTCAGCCTAGTGCGTTTTCTCTCTAAATTAATGCTCTATTCAATATAATATAGCCGAATGTCAAATAAAGATGTTCTCATTTCCTATTTTTTTGTTGTCAGACAATTGAACGAGTAGCTATAATATAGTGAATGATTACATTTTTTATAGGCCTATGTGGAACATTATCTGAATTGAGAGAGTTAGGGAACCGGATGAACTAAGCTCTGTGATAGTGTTACAAGTAATAAGCACAAGAAAATAAATAAAATTAAAATGGTCAAACTAAATTCTTTAAATATAAAACAAAAGAAAAGCAGATAAGTGATAAGTCCGTGGAAAAACACTGCTCATTCGCGTCTGTCAGCGGCCGTGCGCTCCTCTCAGCCATTCACTGAACAGGGGAGACGCAGCTAGAGAGAGTGACGACAGGGAGAAAGCAAGACCTCGCGCTCGCAGGACAGAACTGGCAACATTCGGAGGTTACTGAGGTTTGCCCAAAAAGTCGCTAAAATTGTCGCTTTTTTGAAAAAATGTCGCTAAACGGGTCTGAAAAGTCGCTAAAAATAGCGACAAAGGCGCTAAGTTGGCAACACTGGGTGGTAAACGTGATCTCTCTTTTGAAGGGTGTGTGAGGTGCGCTCAGTTGACGGGACGTCCATCACGGCGTTTGTGGTTCATGAGTGTGAGGGATCGAGTCGCATCGGCTCCAGGCCGCGCCGGTATCTCTTCAGCGGACACAGCAACGGCAGCATCCAGATGTGGGACCTCACCACGGCAATGGAGATCGCAGGGAAAGTGGACATCAAAGGTGAGCGTGGCAGCATTAGTGAATGTGAAATGCAGTGTGTGTGCTGTGTGATGATGTGTTTGTGGTTTTGTGTGTTCAAGCTCTGGGCGGTCCCACTGAAGAGGAGCTTCTGGAGCTTCTGGATCAGTGTGATCTGGCTCTGACCCGAACACCTGACATGAGTCCTGCGGCCTCTCTCACACACTCCTCTCGCAACTCTATGTGCAGGTACACACACACACACACACACACCTTCCTTTCTTCTGCCTCTGGTCCTATACCCTCAAACAACACACTTACCCGGATTCAGTAAAGCTCTTTTTAAATTTAAAATGCGCAAATGTTTTGTTTTATATATCAGTATTTTACATACTCCAAATGTAATAATAGACTGCAACGTATTTTTTATTTTTTTTCTCTCAACAATGCAATTTTGATTCGTTGCGAGCGACATATTTATTTAGATGTGACTTTTTGCTGGAATATAGGGTATATTATAAATCTGTGGGTCTTAAAAAGTCTTAATTTGTCCTTACACAAATTAAGGCCTTAAAAATGTCTTAAATAAGAGCAGAATGTCTTAAATTCATAAAGTCATGGCATTAAATGTTGCATACATTGCAAAAAAAAAAAAAGATCTTCCTCAGTATTTTTGTCCTGGTTTCCAATACAACTTTAAATCAAGATACTTTTTTAGATTTTTCTAGAAATAGATTTACTTGAGATGCGAATGTAAAATGTCTTGTCTTGTAGAATTGAACAAGAACAAATATCTGTCAGTGAGTTATAAAAAAAAGTCCCTTTGAATATTAAGAATTTTTCTGAGCAGAAATTTGTTCTTGTTTTAATCATAAACGTGCTTCATTTTGATCAATTTAGCAGAAAACAAGACTTCAAATTTTAAGCCATTTTGTACCTCCAGTAAATGTATATTGATTTAAGAATTGCACTGGTAAACATACTTTAGGTGTGGAAAATATTTTCAGAGAATATTCAGAGTAAAAGTGATTTCCATATTCTATTGGTTTACTTCTTTGTAAAATGAGTGAACAGTATATGTGTATATCTGTTGGAAGTTGTGTTTTCAAACTCTGAAGTGTTGCTACTACAGCTCAATGTGTTTCTCAGACAGAGAACATGTTGATGTAATTGAGTTGCCTTCAATTATTCCTTACATTTTCTTTACTTGGTCTTAAAAAGTCTTAAATGTACCTTCATAAAACCTGCGGAAATCCTGTGAATGTAATTTCTGCAATAACCAGACGGACTAGATAAACAGTCCCGCCACTAAAATGTCAGTTTAAACAATTTTATTTTACACACAGTGAAGTTCTAGTCAAGTCATCCTCATTTATATAGCGCTTTTAACAATGTAGATTGTTTCAAAGCAGCTTTACAGAGATAAACTTAATATAATTTAAGGTAACACAGATTGTTTTGGCTTTATAGCGGTTCTTGAATAATGTTATTTCCAGCTAAAGTTAGTTTTGATTGATTCGCTTCCGTCGAAATGATCATTTGTTATTAAATTAGGGGCCGCTAAGACGACACCGTTCTCTCTCGGGATAAACAAAGACACTAACGCTAGCGTAGATGCCATTCTTCTTATGATGTAACGAGTACATCAGGATTTAAGGGAAGTGTTCCCAGTTCCGGCTGACCTAATCTATGCAGCCTAACATTGAGTTATAAAAGTCGATAATGTATTATGTGTATGCTAGGTCAAAGAGATGTGTTTTTAGTAGTGTTGTCAAACGATGAAAATATTTAATCGCGATTAATCGCATTAATGTCATAGTTAACTCGCGATTAATCGCATTAATGTCATAGTTAACTCGTGATTAATCGCATTAATGTCATAGTTAACTCGCGATTAATCGCATTAATGTCATAGTTAACTCGCGATTAATCGCATTAATGTCATAGTTAACTCGCGATTAATCGCATTAATGTCATAGTTAACTCGTGATTAATCGCATTAATGTCATAGTTAACTCGCGATTAATCGCATTAATGTCATAGTTAACTCGCGATTAATCGCATTAATGTCATAGTTAACTCGCGATTAATCGCATTAATGTCATAGTTAACTCGTGATTAATCGCGTTAATGTCATAGTTAACTCGCGATTAATCGCATTAATGTCATAGTTAACTCGTGATTAATCGCATTAATGTCATAGTTAACTCGCGATTAATCGCATTAATGTCATAGTTAACTCGTGATTAATCGCATTAATGTCATAGTTAACTCGCGATTAATCGCATTAATGTCATAGTTAACTCGCGATTAATCGCATTAATGTCATAGTTAACTCGTGATTAATCGCATTAATGTCATAGTTAACTCGTGATTAATCGCACATTTTTATCTATTCTAAATGTCTCTTGATTTCTTTTTGTCCCATTATTTTTTCTCATTTTAATGCTGTTATCAACATGGAAAAGTTGATCGGCTTGCTTTGTGCAAATGTTTTTTATTGAAAACAACATTGACATATACTGTGTTCAATTTCACACTAACATTCTCACTTGGAGCAAATGATCTCTCACACAATGTAGCACTGTCCATCAATAAAAGGGTGAAAGAAATACTGACGAGGTCCTGATATTGACGAAGGGGCGGAGAATTCGCATCAGCTGTGTGTGTGTGTGTGCTTGGCCATCATCAAGTGGTGTTTCAGACTGGACGTGCTGCGATCGCGATGATGATAGCTCAGTTCACAACGACAAAACACACAGATCACTTTGGTCTCGTCAATGGAACCATTTGGCAACTTTTTAAAAGTGAACTTTCCATTCAGAATCTTATTGGCATCCATTTCGGCGTCTCGCGCTCATCACCCACTCAAAACGTAACGTTAACCAACTATTTGGCCGTCTCGCAAGCCCAAACAAGTGTGTGCGGCGTCGTGCCTGTTGTTTTGTTTCCGGTCTAGCTAGATCCGCTAGCGCTTTGGTCGACGAAGCAACAAAACGTCCTCGCGCGGCGCAAGCCATTGAAATGAATGGGTTTCATCGCGCAAGCCGCGTCATGTTGCAAAAGCATGTGAAAAAAACTACAAAGTTTGCTCGGCCAAAAAGGCCGTTAATCGCGCGATAAAAAAATTGACGCCGTTAAAATGGGTTTGCGTTAACGCCGTTAATAACGCGTTTAACTGACAGCCCTAGTGTTTAGTCTAGCTTTGAACTGACAGTGTGTCTGCTTCCCGGACAATGGTAGGAAGACTGTTCCAAGGTTTTGGTATTGAACTTGTATTCGTGTGTTTCCCCACAGTCTCCAGTCTCAGTTAAGTGAAAGCACTCGAGCTGGCGGTGGTTTCCGGGCCCCGATTCCTCTTTCTGGGAGTCTTCCTCGTCAGGTCCCTCTGGTTCCCTTCAGTAAAGCCCGCGAGCTGCCGGCCCACCTCGGCCTCAGCCAGTCCTCTCTGGCCAGCAGCGCCAGCAACAGCCCTCATCCGGGCCGGGACCGGGACGGCCTCGGCGCCATCCGGAGAGGCAGCTTCGTGGAGCGCTGTCAGGAACGAGCCAAGTGCTCGGAGGTGGGCGGCCTGGACCCGGGGAGGCGGAGCTTAGCGGTGTGTAGCGAGCTCGAGGCTCGACTTGGACTCAGAATGCCATCATCGTTCTCAGCCCTGCCAGCGCCATGTTTATCAACACCACCATCATCAATGACATCAGCATCAGCACCATCCATGAGAAGACCAGCTCCTGCGGCACCAAACGCTACTCCTTCACCCCTCAGTCCAGTCAGATCGCAAACGCCCACGTCTCCCAGACGACCTCTGACCTCTCCGACCAGCGAGAGCCCGTCCAATGAGAACGCACCTGGGCCGGAAAGCCCCGCCTCTCCTCCTTCCACCAGCCCTAAACCTCATATGAATGAAACCAGCTTCTGAGAGGGAATTCAGCACGAAATGTATCATATTTTACAAAATGTCAGTATCACAGGGTGCCTTATAATATTTTGAATGTGGAGTTATGAGATTGTGTATCGCATGTAAATATTCACATTCCACAACTTTTTATTTTAAGCACAAAAAAATATGGAAGTGATTTACACTTACTCCTGACACTTTTTGGTCATGTTAATGTGAAGGTAGGATTGTTTAATCATGTTGTACAAAAATGGACTAGCTTTTAAGCGGAGTTTTTTTCTTGCGCGATTATATACTTCCCAAGCGTAATATGCGAAGACAACTGAAAACCACTGAAATGTAGGAACACTGTGGCTCTGGAGCTCTCAAAACATTGGCCCGCTTCTTTGAGCATCAGCAACACTGGCTCAACCAATCGAGTGAGTTTGGGGCGGGGCTGTGTGTTTAGCCAACCAATGGCAGATTAGGGGTGTGTCTATTCAGCCTCTGAGTTATTGATTACTTTTAGCTTCTTAAGGCTTTGTTGTTTAGTACGTCATGCTGGTTAGTTGAGCACTGGTTAATATTACTGCATGAGGTTTCAGAATGCAAATATGTGTGAACATTGTTCAGATTAACAGGGTTATGCAATTGCGCTCGACTGCTAATTTTGTTTTTAATAGTCAATGCTAATACTGATATCTATAGAGCAGGGTGGGCATATATATATATATATATATATATATATATAATGGTAGCAAATGAGATGTACAAAACATAGATGAATTTAAATGAATACTTATTTTATATAATACTTACTCAAAATTCACTTAAAGTAGGCTATCTGTAAACAAAAAAGTCCAACTGGTCAAATTTGGAACAGACACAATATTGTCTAATGATGATAATTATAAAATATCACACAATTTGTTCATGTCTGGAATAAGCAGTTCTTCTTCTAAAAAAAATAAAATTATATATACATATTTATTTGAATATGTAAAAACAATGGTATCATTTTCCAATACGGTTTCATTTGTTAACTAACGAACGAAAAATGAGCTAAACATCTGTACAGTATATTTATAAATCTTTGTTGATAGTTCATAAAAATACAGCTGATCATGTTAGTTCACAGTGCATTGACTAATGTTAACAAATACAACTTTTGATTTTAATAATGTATTAGTAAATGTTGAAATTAACATTCATTTATATTTATAAATGCTGTAGAAGTATTGTTCATTCTTAATTAATTTTAACTAAAGTAGTGAACAAATGAAACCATATTATAAAGTGTAACCAAAAGAAAATGCATTTGTTAATAACTAACAAAACCATTTGTAAGCCAGTGTAGACGTTCAATGCAATTTCCACCAATCCAACACAGACTCCAGTTGATCTGGCAGTGTGTGTTACACCTGAGAGAGTGTGTTCTGGGTGAATGTGAACATAGTAAACACAGTGTTACTATAGTAAACTCATCAATTACTCCTTAAAGTCGGCTTGAATTTGGTTGTGGCCGAATATAAACCCCAAACATGAAGAAAGCTGCAGTTCTGAATGTTCAGTGTTCATATTATCAGATTTTTTTTGTTGTTAAAAACCTCATAGTATTTTACCCAATTTATGGTAACGCTTGAAAATGTGGGATCTATACCAGATATAACCCTGTTATAGTTGTCATCCCTAAATGTAAACTGAGTGGTGAAGATTGTAATGACACTCGGACGCTGTGAATTCAACGAATCTTGTTGTGTTGAACATGAACCATTTGATAAGTTATTACTTTTTTTTTACTGTATTCCTCCTAGAACACTGAATAAAACTCTTTTTAAGTTATTGGATGCATTCAGTTATCAATATCAGGAAAAAAGCACTCTTGAAAATTCCCAAAAAATAATTTATTTTCATATAAATAACAGCAGATGTTACTTGTAATAAATTAGACAATATAAATAGAAAGACTCCATAGCTTGACAATGTACTGCAGACTATATTTGTGTTACATTGAGTTTATGATGATGATCGCTGGAACTGTTTTGCAGGAATATAGCGTCTTCGATATTAACCAAATTCCCAAGTCTAGACTGAAAAAAAACTACAGAATTATATAAAAAAAAGAAAATTATTGATATATCGTAAAAAGCTATGCAATAATTGCGTCATCTAAATCGCCAACACCTTATAAAACAATAATCTCCATGAATTTCATATCAAATAAATAGTAAAAGATTGTGCTTCAGCAAGACCAAGAGAGATATTAACCTCTCGTCTTCAAGTGCAGTTTAGCTGCCAAACTCCGAAGAGCTGCTTTTGTGTGTTAAACGTGACCTCTGACCCCTGTGTGACCCAGACCCTTATCAGGGGCGCCGCTAATGGGGAGGGGGGAGTTAGGATTATTCTAAGGGCCCACGCACTTTTAGGCCCCCAGAGATCGACATTAGCCGCGTTTCTACCGAAATTACCCGGAACAATTTGTCTCAGGAACTTTTTTTTACCCCAGACCTGTTGCCGTGAAGTACCGTGAAGATTAGGCCATTCGTTTGGTGACGTGACTTAACAGTTCCCGCTGGATTTCATCCTCTTAATTTAAGTTTAATAAAGCCTGAACCTCGTCGTCGGTCCATAGGTCGTATTTTTTAAACTCCATTGTTGATTCGAATAGAGAGCCTAAAGGTGATGATACACAGGGCAACATTTTGAGCAATGTTGCTGGGCAATGTTGCCGTCAACGGGCAACCAGATGAGACACAGGGCCCACGACCGATCTAAATTATCCAGATAGAAATGTATTGCCCATTTTCAATGGGAAAGTGCCCAAGCAACAATCGCTCGGCAAGATTGCCCAGCAACATTGCTCAAAAAGTTGCCCCGTGTATCATCACCTTAAGTCCCTCCCCTTCCGGTCGACCACCATGGGACCTTATTTCGGAAAAATATTGCATGGTAGTCAATGGCGAGAGACAACAAATATTTTAATCTCATTTGAATTGTGCCCTGAATTACACATATGATGTTTGTCAATTTAAAAGATGCATTTTAAAGTCAAGAAAGTCGCAGTTTGATGTAAAACTGTTGAGGTATAAGACTGTGAAAATACGTAATTACAAAGACTACAAACCCCAAAGGCGCACATTTTCTCTCAATGAATGAAGCTAACTTTACTGAAGATTTACTGAGACTGTTTGACCGTTATAATCGTAACGTTACGCCGTCATGCCTGAGTGTTTTGTACCAGACTGAACACACACGAGCAACGGATCTCGCTCGTTGTTTCGCTTCCCGGGAGATGTAGTTCATTGAGCGATTTCCACATAAAACTAAATGTTACTCTTCTGTTTTATGACAAACTGCGACTTTCTTGACTTTCATAATTAGCTTTTAAATTGACAAACATCATGTGTGTAATTCAGGGCACAGTTCAGACGGAATAAAAAGATAAGTTGTCTCTCGCTATTGACTAGCATACATATTTTTTCCGAAATAAGGTCCCGCCATGAGCCGGAAGCGGAGGGGAGGCAAACAACTGTTATTGCACGCACCGCGACAGATGGTGGTTGAAATAAAAATGCTGCGTGGAGTCAACCAATCAAAATGCGGCATTAACTCGACCGACCAATCAGCATGTTCAGCGCCCAAGTCCCACCCCTGAAAGTTCTTATTTTTAAATGTAATATTACTCTATCGGCGCGACGGCGCCCCTGGCTCAGTCCACAGTGTGCGAGTCGAGTCTAGATGTTGGCGTCCAGCATCTCCAGGAAGAGTTTGTGCATGGGCACGCGTCCCTGCGCGTGTATCCGGCTGAAGGAGCGCGCGGCCCGGTGTGCCGTCTGTCGGAGCAGCGGCAGCGTCATCAGGAGTCTCCCGGCCCGGTGCGGCTCTGCCGGTCTCTGCGCGCTCTCGTACTCCTGGAGCGCCTCGTGGAGCCCGTCCTGGAAGCACTGCACTGCGTCTGCGCACTCCACGTTCTCTGCGTCTGGAAGACAACCATCGGCAAGGTCATTTACCACATCCGATTGAGTGTTAAACACTCTGTTGTGTTTGCTCAAAACTGCGCCGACTCCCATTGTTGATGCTTAATGGACTAGACTAGAGCACATCTATTTGGTCACGCTCTTCAGATCTTTCTGTGTCGAGAGCAAAAACAATAGTTTTCCCCAGTGACATCTATTTGGAAAATCGTCAGCAAGGTCATATACGACATCCGATTGAGTGTTAAAGTCGAGTCACATTTATTTATATAGCGCTTTTTACAATACAGATTGTTTTAAAGCAGCTTTACAGAGATAACAGGAAAATAATGCAACAAAGTTTGTTTCTAGAAGAAAAAAGTGTCACAGTCCAGCTTAAGTAATGCTGCGTTCCAGGCAGGTTTTTGAGCACGTAAATCACGACTTCAAATCACGACTTTGTAGCATTCCAGGCCAGTCACGCCAAACTACCTGAGCGCAATATACATACTTATTGTTTCAGACACATAACATTGTAATACATAATCGTGTGTGTATATACATACTTATTGTTTCAGACACATAACATTGTAATACATAATCTTGTGTGTATTATTATCATTATTATTATATTATTAATTTGACTGCAACGTTATATTGTCCTAAAGTGTATTCTCACTGTGTACCGCCTGCAGAAACACTGCATCCATAGGGGCTGCCATTGTTGTTTTGTATGGTTTTGCGGGCTATGTGACGTCAGAACTCGTAACTGGGAGTACATCGATCTAGTACGAGTTCACGGGTGGGAAGTCACGGGTTTGACTGCCGTTCCAGTGCACTTTCACGGGTATAAGGTTGGAAAAACACGGGTTACAGGTTGCCTGGAACGCGGCATTAGTTCACTGATTTTGTTGTAAAAAAGTTATTAATTTAGTTCATATATATATATATATATATAGCCACTCTGGAGAAATGATGTCATTGTCCAGCTCAGTTCAGTTCTCTAATATAATGGTGTTAATGCAGGCAGATCAATAATATTGTTGAATATTAAAATAAATGTCCCCAACTAAGCAAGCTAAAGGCAACAGTGGCAAGGAACCAAAACTCAATCAGTGACAGAATGGAGAAAAACGAACGGCTCCTCTGGCCAACGAACGAACAGAGTATGATTATGATTATGATTCAGGCAGAATTACAGGTCAGAAGTCAGATTGGATCTGAACATTCAGAATATTTTCCAGTTCCATCTGGTTGAAGGTCGGAGTATGGAGACGAGTTTGTTGAGGATCAGTGCCGATGACTGACACACTGTTGTGTTTGCTTAAAACTCCAGCGACTCCTATTGTTGATGCTTAATGGACTAGAGCACATCTATTTGGTCACGCTCTTCAGATCTTTCTGTGTCGAGAGCAAAAACAATAGTTTTCCCAGTGTTGTCTGACTCGAATCTGCCCTGTGGTCAGATGCAAGCTGGGAGACACGGCTAATGGTTTATTGATCTGTGCTCTGGACTGCTAGATCCCTATTGATTGTTTTTGAGTCTGAGACTGAAAATGGGAACTAAAATGAAGTAGAATGAATTGCTATCATGCAAACCAGATATAGAGAGTTTAGGAAATCCCTGGACGCCTCTTAAGCAGCATCAATACAACCATAAACGCATATAAACCACTCAATTCATTAAAACATAACTTCAAATACAGTCAAACTTCTGACATGCTGAATTTATATAATCATATACCTTATAAACGTATAACCTTTCGATCTAAAGACGTTGCTTCAGTGCTTGAAATGGTTTTGTAAAATAATGTTATATTATAACGATTCTCTGAATATATATATATATATATATATATATATATATATATATGTTTCGTATAACTATTATAATATGTTTAATAATATAAATATGATAGTATAGTATTTTTTCTGTAATTTTAAATATAACATAAAATATAACATTTTTAGTCATCTATAATTAGATAATTAGCTTTGTATAATAATATACAATTATAATAATGCATTTCTATAACGATTCTCTGAATATATATATATATATATGTTTCGTATAACTATTATAATATGTATAATAATATAAATATAATAGTATAATATTTTTTCTGTAATTTTAAATAGAACATAAAATATAAAAATTTTAGTCATCTATAATTAGATAATAAGCTTTGTATAATAATATACAATTATAATAATGCATATTAATATATATATATAGGTTTCTATTATATATATATATATATTGAATTTTGATAACATTTTAATATATATATATATATATATAGGTTTCTATTATATATATATATATTGAATTTTGATAACATTTTAATATATATATATATATGTTTCGTATAACTATTATAATATGTATAATGTAAATATAATAGTATAATATTTTTTCTGTAATTTTAAATATAACAAAATATAAAATTTTTAGTCATCTATAATTAGATAATTAGCTTTGTATAATAATATACAATTATAATAATGCATTTCTATAATGATTCTCTGAATATATATATATATATATATATATGTTTCGTATAACTATTATAATATGTATAATAATATAAATATAATAGTATAATATTTTTTCTGTAATTTTAAATATAACATAAAATATAAAAATTTTAGTCATCTATAATTAGATAATTAGCTTTGTATAATAATATACAATTATAATAATGCATATTAATATATATATATAGGTTTCTATTATATATATATATATATTGAATTTTGATAACATTTTAATATATATATATATATATAGGTTTCTATTATATATATATATTGAATTTTGATAACATTTTAATATATATATATATATATGTTTCGTATAACTATTATAATATGTATAATAATGTAAATATAATAGTATAATATTTTTTCTGTAATTTTAAATATAACATAAAATATAACAGTTTTAGTCATTATCTATAATTGGATAATTAGCTTTGTATAATAATATACAATTATAATAATGCATTTCTATTAATATATATATAGGTTTCTATTATATATATATATATATATGATATATATATTGAATTTTGATAACATTTTAATATATATATATATATAATGTATATAAAAAATATTTTTAGCCTTTACATTGGAGGATCTGTTGAAGTGTAGAGTTATTGGTCAAGTATACCTGAGTTGGCCAGAGCCATGGCTTTGAGCGTGAGCATCTCCTCCTGGCTCAGGCTCATCTGCTGGTATCTGACGGCCAGGTGTCGGAGAGCCGTGTAGAGGTCCGGCAGTCCCACGGCTCGGCTCTGGCTCTCGCTCAGGCGCAGGTTCTCCGCAAACTGAAGCTCGTCGGCCGAGGCCTGAGATCTCCACACCACGTTCAGGACCAGCGTCTCCATCCAGCCGCTCTGGAGCAAAGCCATCTGATCCACCAGAGACAGGCCAGAGAATCCTGAAGCAGAGAGATGTGTTTAAAGGTATAAATCAGGACTGTCAAAGACAATTCAAGCACCACTTTCTTGGTTTTGAAGGACTACAATCAGAGATCTCACTTGTTAAATAATACCTTTGTTATCTTTCAAATTCAAAAAAAAAGGTAAATGGATCAATAAAAATAAACTGATAAACAAAATGGAAAGTGCAGCAGATGAAAAAAGACTATGACAAAGATATCGCTTTCTTATTCAAACTGATTTTTTTTTCCTCGTGAATATATGATCGACCTGAAGAAAGCTGTATCATATGCTTGGATATTTAGATCACGCTCATAGCCATGCGAAATGGCTCTATCTATATCAGACGGGCTGCGGCGTTCATTTTGATTTTCATTTTATCAATAAAATTAAAAGCAAATTTCACTTATATTTTCTTTTTTAATAATTCAAGCACTTTTAAAGTACCTTTTAATAAATATGAATGTTTTCAAGGGTTTTCCAGGACTTAAATTTCAAAAAGCCAAATTCAAGCACTTTAAAGGGGTGGTATAATGTCCTTTTCAGAAGATGTAAAATAAATCTCTGATGTCCCCAGAGTGTGTGTGTGAGGCTTAAGCTCAAAACACCCCACACATATTTTTATATAGCATGTTAAAGTTGTCACTTTTTGAGGGTTAGCAAAAACACAACGTTTTGTGTCTGGCCCTTTAAATGCAAATGAGCTGCTGCTCCCGACACAGTGGGCAGAGCTTCAAGAGCTTGCGTGTGTTAGTAGCTGCGATTACCTCACGCAGACATACGCTAAAATGTCAGAAACTGTTCTCTTTCAAACATTCGCTCGGTATCTCACTATGGGAACGCCTCTGAGCGTGACAGATCTGGAAGTACCAATCACACCACGTCTGTCAGTTGACAGACCAATCACCACAGTGATGCGGGAGTCCCACCTCCCTCATATAACCCACTGCCAGTGGTCCCTACTTCATTCTTCGATCTCTTCCCCGTGAAGATCAAAATTGGAAGCTTTCCTTCAGTTGGACCTGTCTTCAAAATAGTTGTTTAACTGTTCTAAGACGAGCCGTCGAGGTACGTCACCGAACGCAGCTATTTTTTGTTAGCAGGTCTTTTACCACTGTAACGGTGATTTTTTTATTTGATTCTGGTATACCACGAGAATTAACGTGTTACGGCGAATTCTCTTGGATATTCCTTTCTTCTGAGTTACACGTTGTGGTGAGCTTGGATACGGTTATTATTATTATGGCAACTGCAAGTTCTGCAAGCGGCGGTCCGAAAGCAGAAACTTCACGTCCGTGTGCGTGCGGTTCGATGATTTCAGGCAAGGATCTTCATCCTTTGTGCATCGCATGCCTGGGGGTTAGACACGCTCAGGCAGCCCTCGCTAACCCCGAGGGCTGTCCTCACTGTTCTCTCTTCCCGTCGAGGGTGCTAGAGAGAAGAGTGCGAGTCGCGGCCACTAACAAGGGAGATCCCTGCTTTTCTCCGCCGCCCGCGGAGGAGGCTAAAAAGCCCCCTGCGTCATGCAGCTGGGGCGAATTTATGGACGAGGTCTCCCCCCAACTACCTCCCCTTTTTGGATCCTTTACGGATGTAAGAGAGGAGGACGATGAGGACGACGAGGCCATCGATCATCTGTTGGAGGACGATGGTGAGGAGGATGACGACGATGCGATCCTCCTGCCGAATCCCTCCCGGCCAGGCAGCGCGTTAAGCGAAGGTTCACCCTCCCCGGCTCAGGGGGAGCTCGACCTACTGGTAATGTGCCGGAGGGCGGCGGCGAAACTCTCCATAGACTGGCCGTCGCAGCAGACGGGCCAGGGGACGGAGAGAGATCTCTATGACGGCAAGAGACTGCCGGCACGTGCCCTACCAGCTAAACAGCTCATTCCAGCGGTCCCCGCGTGCGTTTCAGAAATGAAACGTTTCTGGGATAAGCCCTGTTCACACAGGGTTCCTGTAAAGGGATTTTCTAGGCTGGATGTGGATAAAATGGAGGAGTTAGGGATGTCAAATTCCCCTCCTGTCGAGCTGTCAGTGGCACATCATCTCCACCCTAACCGCAGGGCAGCCTTTTCCTCGGCTTCAGCTTCACTGCCAGGACGCACTGAGCGTCTAACAGCCTCAGTGTTTCAGAAGATTTATCGCTCTTCTGCACTGGCAGTGAGGGCTCTTAATGCCACCTCTCTCCTCACTGCTTATCAAGCAGAGCTTATGGAAGAGATGGGGAGGCAAATGGATGCTGGGACACCAAACCCAGCCCTCTGGGAGGAGATTTGCGTTATTGCAGATCTGAACCTGAGAACTTCCAGAGGTGCGGTCCAGAGCTGTGGCCGCAGCATGGGCCTAGCAGTGGTCGGCGAGCGAGCTCTCTGGCTGGGGCTGTCAGGGCTGTCAGACAGAGAGAAGGCTGACTTCTTGGATGCTCCGGTTGAGCCCAAAGCTCTTTTCGGGGCATCGGTCACTGCTATGCGACAAAGGTGTGATCAAAAGAAACAAGAGGGTGAGGCTTTCCAAACCTGCCTCCCTCGCAGATCCACCGTTAAGGTTTCTCAACCACCACGATCCAGGTTTGATGCCCCCCAGCAGAGAGGTCGGTCAGACTTCAGAGGCCCTAGACCTTCTCAGCCTCACCAGACTGAGCCACAGTCTAAGTCAGCTCAGCCGAGGGGAAAACCTTCCTTTGCAGCGGCTGCAGCCAGACACCGACCAGCAAACCCTCAGGGAGGGAAGAAACGGCGAGCAACCTAATATTATATCAGGTTCAAAAAGAAGGGATGAGCAACAGCACTCACGGAGTATCTGTTGTTATCCTCCCTCAAAGAGAGCGGTCATTTTCTCCCCCTCCCGCCAAGAGAAGGCGTCGGACACGGGAATTGTTCAAAGAAAAAAGTTACCCTATGACCGGTTCAGTTGTGAAGTTTGCACAAGTTCTCCCAGTGCCTCACAGAAAAGCACCAGTTCCCCCAGTGCCTCACAGAAAAGTTTCCCTCCCTCCACCCACGGGGTTAAAACAGAGGGCAGAGGGCTGTTTTCTGAAAGATATGTGTGCTGTGAAAATAATAAACACGTTCCCTGTGCATCCAGGCAGTGGGCCGAGGGCACAGCAATGTTTGAAAATAAAAACACACACAAAAAAATAATAATTCCAAATCAGAGCTGCAGTCCCCAGCTCCACTGCTAGATGGCGCCGCTGCGTCACTAGTGGACGAGAGCTGCTGCGGCCCGCTCTCTGCACACGCAGAGAGCTGGCGCGCATGCGCAGTACACCCCTGGGTTTTATCCACAATAAGCCGGGGTTATCGTCTGCAATTTGCTGTAAAACCTCCACTTTTCAACAGTGTGTTACTGTCAACAGCAGAAGGGGAGTCAGCTCAGATTATGGAGGAAGAAATAACCTCTTTATTGAACAAAAGAGCTATTCGAGTTGTGCCGCCGGAGAACAGCCATCTAGGTTTTTACTCCCGGTACTTTGTCATTCCCAAGAGAGGGGGGGGGGTCTCCGTCCTATTCTGTATTTACGGAACCTCAACAAACACCTCAGAAAATACAGGTTCAAAATGTTGTCCTTAAAAACGTTATCTCAAATTATTCGTCCCAAGGACTGGCTTACGTCAGTCGATCTGAAACATGCATATTTTCACATAAGCATCTACCCGGCGCACAGAAAATTCCTCAGATTTGCCTATCGAGACACAGCCTACGAGTTTTTGACAGTCCCGTTCGGTTTGTTTCTGGCTCCCAGAGTTTTCAGCAAATGTGTGGAAGCAGCGCTCACACCGCTGAGAATAATGGGTCTAAGAGTGTCAACATATTTGGACGATCTGCTGCTGTGCATGCCGTCATGGCAACAGGCAGAGAGAGAGACACAAATGCTTGTGTCTCATTTGGAGAGCTTAGGTTTCAAGATAAACGAAACAAAAAGCTGCTTGGTGCCTACACAAGAGATAATTTACCTGGGTCTCAGACTGAACTCGGACCTTTATCAAGCTTTTCTGTCCGAAGAGCGCATCAGGTCAATTCGCGGCTGTCTATCCCTTTTTCAGAAAGGAAACAGAGTTCCATTCAGACTCTGTTTACGTCTTCTAGGGCTGATGGCCTCGACAGTTTCTGTCATTCCACTGGGACTGTTGCGAATGAGGGAGTTTCAGAACTGGAAGGCGGCGCAGGGTTTGTGTCCAAAACGCCATCTCAACCGCAAGGTGATAGTGACGTCACGCTGCATGCGCGCTCTCCGTCAGTGGAGAGATCGCTCATTTCTCGAGTCAGGGACTCCGCTGGGAGCAGTTTCTCTGAGAAAGGCGGTTACAACGGATGCGTCGCTCACAGGTTGGGGTGCAGTGTGCGAGGGCAGGATAGCGAAGGGGAAATGGCCCATCTCGCTACAAAACGCACACATAAACTTCCTGGAACTGTTAACAGTTTTTCTGGCACTGAAACATTTTGTGCGGTTCTTAAGGAACCACCACATTTTGATCAGGTCAGACAACACAACGGCGGTGGCATACATAAATCGCCAGGGAGGCACACGTTCCCATCTGCTTCACAGTCTGGCACAGAAAATTATCGTGTGGAGCGTGAAGCATTTTCATTCACTACGGGCAACCCATGTCCCGGGAATAATGAATGTGGGGGCGGATCTCCTGTCCAGAGGAAATCCTCTGTATGGAGAATGGACTCTCCACCCTCAGGTAGTGAGCCAGTTGTGGGAGAGGTTCGGCCAGGCTGCCGTAGATCTCTTCGCCTCGCACGAAAACACTCAATGTCCTCTATTCTTCTCTCTGGCGAGAGACGGTGCGCCTATGGGTGTGGATGCTCTAGCGCACCCGTGGCCAAACGCACTTCTGTACGCGCTTCCGCCACTAAGTCTGATATTTCCAACTTTAAGAAGGGTAAGAGAGTACGGTCACTCAGTCATAATGATTGCCCCGAACTGGCCGAGAAGTTGTGGTTGACGGAGATAATTCAACTCCTTTGCGACCAGCCTTGGCCTCTCCCGTTGCGCAGGGACCTTCTCTCACAAGCGCGCGGGGAGATCTTTCACCCAGCCCCAGACAAAGTGGCTCTTTGGGCCTGGCCCGTGAGAGGTTAAACTTGAGAGTGACGGGTTTGCCTCCGGGTGTGATTGAAACAATTCAGAATGCACGAGCGGCTTCAACGCGCTCTGCATATGATCGGAAATGGACTGTGTTTGAACGATGGTGCGCACAAAAACACATTGTTCCTTTTCTCTGTTCTGTGGCGGATGTGTTATGTTTTCTGCAGGAACTTTTGGATAAGGGCAGAGCCTTTTCAACTGTTAAGGTTTATCTTGCCGCAATTTCTGCGTGTCATGTGGGGGTTGACAGAAACACTATAGGTCAACACCCGCTTGTATGCAGGTTTATGAGAGGTGCGCGACGTTTGAACAGGGTTTCAAAGCCATTGATTCCGCCGTGGGATCTGTCTGTGGTCCTTAACGCACTATCTCAGCCCCCTTTTGAGCCAATAGAGAGTGTTGAATTAAAGCTCCTTTCACTAAAGGCTGCTTTATTATTGGCTCTTTCGACCGCAAAGCGGGTTAGTGAACTTCACGCGCTATCGGTTCATAACTCTTGTATGCAGTTCGCTATGGATTACTCGAGAGTAACTCAAAACGAATCCAGCGTTTGTGCCTAAAGTTAGCGAGTCAGCTCTCGCCTGTAAACAGGTGGATTTACTGGCTTTCCATCCGCAGCCTTTTTCCTCGTCAGAGGATGCGCGGCTTCATTGCTTGTGCCCTGTCCGTGCGTTGCGTCATTATGTGGACAGAACGAAAGCACTAAGGAAGAGTAATCAGTTGTTTGTTTCATGGGCTGATTCTCATAAAGGGAAACCTATTTCGCGTCAGCGCCTGTCCCACTGGGTAGTGGAAGCTATTATATTATGTTATAATGGCATGGGTCTCTGTCCTCCGGAAGGGCTGAAGGCTCATTCTACCAGAGGTTTGGCTACCTCATGGGCACTGTTTAAGGGCGTTTCAGTTCAGGACATATGTGCAGCAGCAAGCTGGGCTTCGCCTCACACTTTTGTCCGATTTTATAGAATGGATGTCACTGAGCCATCACTGGCTCATTCCGTCTTAAGTGTGTAAAAACAAAACAAAAAAAAAACACACACACACACACACTCATTATGGAGTGTTATGTCGCATACATCACTGAGTTGGTTGACATGCCTGCTTCAGGGAAGCATATCTGCAATACGGGAGTTGTCTATATCCCATAGTGAGATACCGAGCGAATGTTTGAAAGAGAACTTTAGGTTACTTACGTAACCCCGGTTCTCTGATAACATGAGTGAGGTATCTCACCACACGTCCCTCCTTGCAGTGCACGGAGAAGAGATATGCAGAGAATGAAGTAGGGACCACTGGCAGTGGGTTATATGAGGGAGGTGGGACTCCCGCATCACTGTCGTGATTGGTCTGTTAACTGACAGACGTGGTGTGATTGGTACTTCCAGATCTGTCACGCTCAGAGGCGTTCCCATAGTGAGATACCTCACTCATGTTATCAGAGAACCGGGGTTACGTAAGTAACCTAAAGTTCTGCCTTTTATGTTTAAACCGGAGTCAGACAAAGATGGAGAGACTAAGAAGAAGTGACAACACGTAGAATGCAACAGGACGTCTCTGAATGGTTAGTTGATGAATTTATGTTGATGATGTGAAGTTAACTATCTTCAATTAGCATATTCTGTCATGATAATCTATAAATCGCTCGTATAGGAACTGTTGTGAGATGCACACAGAGTGACTTTCTATTGCATGTGAAAAGACGGATGCGACAGTTTGATCTGACTCACAAATGAGCTCGACTACAACAACTCTTCCTCTTCTCAACATGGACTCCGTGTTCCCGGGGGCGGGGTTTATGCTAATTTTAGGGTTGGTGATGTCACTAACCCGGAGGAATGTCGTGTAGTTCTACCAACCGTTTGTTGTAGTCCTTTTCTTTAAAAGCAAATATCTTCCTTTGCTTTGAACTTTGAGCGTTGTAACTTTGCAGATGTTTTTTATGCTCAAACAGCAACATCACACACTAACTAAAGTTAGAAAAGTGAAATCATAATCAACCACCCCTTTAAGAAACCTTGTACGAACCCTGATATATTGAGCACAGAAACATCTAAATGTGTACCTGGGATGTGTTTAGCCCAGCCAATCATAACCAGGAGCTCCCTGTTTAGAAGGTCACATAAGGTCATCAGTGTTTTAAGGTCACTGTCAGGGGTCGCGGGGTCAGGAGTGGCTCGCAGAGGAGCCGGTTCACACACCAGCAGCTGAGAGATCACTTTGTTTCCTGGAAAGGAAAAGATGATGCTTTATTGATGAAGTTAAACCCTTAATCAGGTTAAATCCTCAACCACACATAATCCAATGACGACACTGTCTCTAATACTCAGAGTTATGCTCAGTCCCTCGCTGTGTGTGTTCATATTAAAGATGTACAAGTGGTTAGCAAAGGCTATTGTAATGAATGTTGGTCCGTGTGTGTGTGTGGTGAGACTCACTGATTGGTTTGCTTGGATGTGTGTAAGGTGTTTTGGTGAAGAGAGAGAGTGCCGAGTCGGCTCTGCGCTTGTACTTCTGCCGGCCTCCTCTGACGCGGTCCATGCGCACACCTGGACAGGTACGGGGAAATCAACTCCTTATTTCAAGCTAGTTTCTTCTTGTTTACTATTCTTGTCAAGACACCTTTACTAAAACATAAAAAGACATGCACTGTGTCCAAACATACTGTATGTTTCCATCAGAAGTTGAAAATTTAACTTGTGCGCAAAAAATTGGAATATTGCATAACACATTTGTGAATAAAGCAGCGTTTCAATCTCATGTTCAAGAGAAAAAAATATCTGGAATAAAAATTAAAGTTGCTGCAATCGGGGAAGAAACTGCATGATATCGCGATAAAGCTGTCATGATGTCTAGCGTTCGGATGCTGGTGTTCGGGAACGCGTTCAAATCATTCTGATCACAGACTAAGGCTGTGTCCGAAATCTCCCACTACTCACTATATAGTGAGCTCGCCATTTTGTAGTGCTGTCCGAATGTATAGTGATGATTATTATACCCTATATAGTCCACTCAATGTATCCCAGAATGCATTTTGAAAAGTAGTGTACAACCGATGGTCACTAACCCAAGCCCTACATACCATCATGCATTGCGCTGATCGTAAAAGACCTATCAGCATCATCTTCATCTTTAACTTACAATTTGACGACGTCTCGCTAGCGTAGCAAGAACAGCACGTCGTTTTCTGTGTCTAGAAATCCTGTCTAAAAGCTGTTTTATTAAGAGTTTTATGAGCAAGATATTTGATAACGTAGATCTGTTTTTTTCCCTAATGTCGACAGGCAAGAGAAAACGGTGTGGCGCGAAAATGAAAATATATGAAATATGTGTATTAATTTTATTTATGTTTATAAGTTATAATCATGTGTGGAGTAACGCATTATAACAGAAATGGCCAGAAATGACTTTTAATTTTACAACTTTGGAGAAATAAGCTCAATAAAATGTAATGCATTTATATATAAAAAAATCTATTTAGCCCAGAGCTGGCTCGGCACCAGCTGACAGATGACGGCGCGTTTAAATAGTGCGACAGTAATGACGTAATCAACGGCGCCGAGAGACGCGAGTAGTGTCCGATTGTATGGCAAGCCGTTTTAACTTTTATTCATTTCCAGGATATGAATACTTGATATCAACAATTCAATTTTCACTAGTTAAAATTATAATTATTGATATCAGGAATAATATTTCTACTAGTAACAATGGCAATTTTTGATATCAGGAATTACATTTTCACTAGTAACAATGCTAATTCTTGATATCAACATTTACATTTTCACTAGTTAAAATGATAATTCTTGATATCAACAATTGAATTGCAACTAGTAAAAACTATCATTCTTGATATCTGTAATTGTATTTTCACTAGTGAAATGTCACCATAGGCTGCCATTAAAAATCAATTCTTGATATCAAGAATTTATTTCTTACTAGTTGAAATTCCAATTTCACATATCAGAAATACAATTCTTACTAGTAAAAACCTTTATTTTTGATATCAAGAATTAAATTGTCACTAGTTGAAATGTCTATTCTTGATATCAACAATTGAATTGCTACTAGTGACAATGTTAATTTCTGATATCATGAATGTGATTGTTACTAGTAAGAAAGCCATTTTAGATATCTGAAATAATATTGATATCAGAAATACATTTTCAGATATCAAAAATGAATTTTTTTACTAGTAGCAATTCAGTTGTTGATATCAAGAATAGACATTTAGACTAGTGATAATTTAATTATTGATATCAGGAATTTGCATTTTTACTAGTAACAATGTAATTATTGATATCAAAAATGATATTTCTACTAGTAAGAAATCAATTCTTGATATCAACAATTGATTTTGAATGGCAGTCTATGGTGACATTTCACTAGTGAAAATACAATTGTTGATATCAAGAATTACTTTTTTGATATCAATAATTCAATTGTTGATATCAAAAATGTAATTGTTGATATCAAAAAATGTAATTGTTGATATCAACAATTCATATCCTGGAAATGAATAAAAGTTAAAACGGCTTGCCATACCCGAAAGTGGTGTTTCTATTATGCTGGTGAGCTCACTATATAGTGCTCTACTCCCTACCCCCTACACAGGGGTTAGGGAGTAGTGGTTTGAGTGGAGATTTCGGACACAGCCTTTGACTCCGGAGTTTCAAAACCAACATTTGAGATGCTGCGATGCCATTGGTCCGCTGGTTCATCCAGTTATCCAATCACAGCCTCCGCTGAGGCAACGTCACAAGAGTTTTTGTTGCGCATCGAGGGATTTATTCAGTAAATGTGTTTACGTGCCTCAATTGAGCGCACGTGTTTTTTATGCGCATTTTCAGAATTTATGCATCCAGAGTTTATTTATAAAAGCGAATATAAATAGGTGGATGGAAACATACAAATCTGGGAGTGAAAATCTAATTTAAATCTGGGGGGAAAAAAATTGTATATGCAAAACAAAGAAACCTTATTACATAAAATGAAGAATATGTTTTTAAGATTGTGTTCAATTTCAATATAAGCAGTAACACTTTATTTATTAACAACTGCATTAGTTAACATGAAATAACAATGCAAATAAGCATTTATTAATCTTAGTTAACTTCAACATTTATGTATTAATCAAATCCAAAGTTGCATCTGTTAATTTTATTTAATGGACCTGAGCTAATATGAACAAACAATCAACAGCTGTATTTAATTTACCAACGTGAATATTTAATAAATACAGTAACAAATGGAGGCTTAATGTAAAGCACATGTACGATAGATTGTTAAAGATACTAATATCTTTAGAAATATTGCATAACAAAATGAGCTTTTCCGCTAGTGTAGAATACAGTTTATGGGCACAGGTTATTTGTACCCATGCAAAAGCAAACATCTAAAGATAAAATAGAAGTCATAGCATTGCTGAAATGTAAAAGTGTGACGTTAGAGAGGAACTGACCCTCTCTCATCATGCCGGCACGCAGGCACTTCTGGAAACGACAGGCTTGGCAAGACTTCCTCCGTCTCTTGGTGATCTCGCAGTCATTCACCACAGGACAACTGTACTCGATGTTCCCTGAAACACCAACAGACCAAACTCAATTTACATCCTGCGTAGTGCTTTACTTCTGCGACGGTTTAATTCAGAACCAATGAAAACCGGCAGGGGAGATTCCAGCTCGTGTCAAAGCACAATGCCAACAATTCTCTCAAGTATTTAGTTATTTCATTTAATTTCTTAGTACTTTTTAAATGTCACACCATGGGACACATTTACAGTACTGTTGAGTGAAAACGTGAACAAACATATGTGAAGTCACTGACAAAATTAGTGTTTTCATACTCCATAAATCAGGGCTCCAGACTAACTTTTCCACTGGTTGCACTGGTGCTACCAACTTTCTCAGTTGGTCGCACCAGCATATGATTTGGTCACACCTTTTTTTTTTTTTTTTTGCTACATGCCATGGGATTAATCAATGCATGCTGATGAATAGTGGTTTTAATGGACCAAGGCTAGCAAAGGCTTTCTGGGTTGCAGCAGAAATACCTGTAATATATTAATTCTCATTGCCAAATTTCAGGATTTTCATGGATTTTGGACAGTAATTTTAATCTGTAATTTTAAGCATTTTACATTTGAATTATATACAATCTATCTATTTACATTTGAATCATATTCTATCTATCTATCTGTCTATTATCATCTTTCTATCTTTTAAAAATCATTAAACATTCAAATGTATGCATTACATTTTAAAAGATTAGAGTATTATAATAAACTGATACAGATTTTTCGTTATCAAAGTTTATAGTTGTAACAAAAAGCAGAAATCTCACACTCCTTACCTTCTGCATTTTATAATAATTTCCTTTTCCTCTGTCGAGCGATCATGAGAGTAATCGCTCGACAGAGGAAAATATAACCGCTGAAAAGACGTAGGAGGAAGGTGTTTCGTGAGACCATTTTTATCATTTTTATATGCCTTAATTCGTGAATTCGTAATTGGCGCGTTTCACCATCAGTGTGCAATGCGCGTGACGTCTACGTTCGTCAATAAATAAACTGCACGTGTCTTGCGGAAGAACATTGAGGACGGAACTACTTCTCTCCGTTAATGTCTATGGCGAGTCACGCAGGCACTGGGCTACTCCGCAGCCGAGACGACCCCGGGATAAAATAGTCCGAATATAAACACTTATTATAGGCGTACCGTAGTGATTCAGAATAAGTCAAAAACACGGTTTGGAAAATGGATTCATGATGTAGCCTACTCGTTTATTTTGAACATAAGTTACGGACTGCAGCATCTGATACAACGGCGATCTGTTGCTCAAGCGTCCACTCGCACAAATGCGACCACATAACATTTTAACTCGCACATTCTCAAAAAATGGTCGCATATGCGACCAATTTGGTCGCAGTCTGGAACCCTGCCATAAATATATGTATTTTTTCTTAAAAAGTTGTTTTCCAAAAAAAGTGGCCATTTGTCAACTTATGCTCTGAATACTTCTACAAATCTACGTCTCCTCAGGACACGTCGTTAGTGGATTATTAATAAAAAGCAGAAAGTTATATGCACAACTCTGAGAGCTGCACTGAGTGAGATACTATTTATATATTTGTGTAATCAAACATGAAGTCCATTTGTTCCACGCTTCACAAGCTGAGCTTTCACACAGAAATCCATAGGAGTCCAGACAGAGTTCAAATATTGATTTGCACTGCCTCATAATTTAATAATCATAGCAAGAAGTAGAAAGTTTGTGTTTTCCCAGAGGCTAGTGTATCGACGACTGTTCGACACCCATTAATGGCCGGAGAAGCAAATCCTGCATTTTTTCCCCCATTTCCACAGTTAAGTATGATCAATAGATGTGTGTAAAACACTGACAAGACTCTGTGTGAGCAGAGCATCCATTATGTGATTGAACACTTTATCAATATATTGATATGTTAACACACACACACATACACACACTGCTTACACTTGTACTCTGTCTGCTCAAGGCCAAAGCCAATATCATCCATCTGTCAGAAACATAATTATATATATATAGCGGTCAAAAGTTTGAAAACATTAGTATTTTTAATGTTTTTGAAAGAAGTCTCTTATGCTCATCAAGCCTGCATTTATTTGATCAAAAATACACAAAAAACAGTAATATTATTTTAAAATTTATAAAATGATCACAATTTAAAATATTGGTTTTCTAACTTTAAAATATAATTTATTTCTGTGATCAAATCTGAATTTTCAGCATCATTACTCCAGTCTTCAGTGTCACACGATCCTTCAGAAATCACTCTAATATGATGAATTATTATCAATGTTGGAAACAGCTGATTAATATTATTAACCTGCGATACTTTTACGATTCTTTGATGAATAAAAAGTTAAAAAGAACAGCATTTATTTCAAATATAAATCTTTTGTAACAATATACACTAACATTCAAAAGTTTGGGATTAGTCATTTTTTTCCTTTCTTTTTTGAGATAAATTAATACTTTTATTCAGCAAGGATGTGTTAAATTGATTAAAAGTGATAGTAAAGATTTATATTGTTAGACAACATATCACAGCCGGATTATATTTCATACATATATTTTCAAAATGCGCCAACAATTCTAATTTTAGATAATATATTATACCCTTGCCGCTATTCTATTTATAAAAAATAATTTTCTAACATTAAAGTTTTTTTTTTAAATATTCTATAAAACATATATAAAATAATTATTAATCATTGGCAACAGTTCTATCTTTACATTACCTCATCAAATACCTTTACTTCGTATTATTTGGTTACACTTTATTTTAAGGTGTCCATGTTAGTGTAATTATGCATTTAAGTACTGAGTAATAATAATCAGCTACATGTATATAGAGTTAGAGTTAGGATTAGGGTTATGTTTTGCGTGTAAGTATGCATGAATTATAGTTATTACTGCAGTAACGTGTAATAAGTACACTGTAAAATAAAGTAAAATAACCAAAACCATGTCACATGTATTGAGCTCGGCTTCTGAGGTGCTTTGATTAAAACAGCACACTGAGTCTTCACACACAAATCAATGTCAGACAGATAGTTAGCTCGTGTAATATTGATCATTGCATGCATTCATTAACAGCATAAGCCCCTCTCTCACACACTCCAACACTCATTTTCATTATTAAGTTACTAATTAACATTATGCATTCTCATATAAGTTCATACTGACTTTTATTGTTTTGTGAATATAGTCAAATGTTTTACAGTGTCATTGTTACATATGTTACATGTAGGCTAGTTATAAATTATGCATAACTTATATGCAACTAACCCTGAACCAAACCCTAAGCCTAATCCTCATAACCCTATAGTAAGTACATGTAGTTAATTATTAGTACTTAATGTATAATTACAGTGTACACTTTATTTTGAGGTGTCATTGTTGCAATGTAATTATATATTTAAGTACTGAGTAATATTAATTAACTACATGTATTTAGTATAGGGTTAGGGTTTGGTTGAGGGTTAGTTGCATGTAATTATGCATAATTTACTGTATGGTAAGTATGTAACAAGGACACTGTAAAATAAAGTGTAACCACTTTTGTTGTTTTTTTAGGTGCAGTGCTTACCTTGAATGGTTCTTTTGAAGAAGGCCTTGCACGCCTCGCAGGACGCCACGCCGTAGTGGTAGCCGGACGCGAAGTCTCCGCACACCAGACACAGGCGCTTGGGCCCGGGGTTCAGCGAGGGGATGAAGTCGCTGAGGAGAGACTCTGTGTGTCCCGCCGGGTGGAAGAGCGCCGGGGCGCTGGTGCTGGAGATGGAGCTGGAGCTCACCGGCGAGTCCGGGGTCAGAGACGGGTTTCGGGAGAACACGCTGTAGCCGCTGCTGTCCGACGCGCTCCCGGGGCTGAACGGGGTCGCGCTGCTGTCCAGCCCGAACGACGGGCTCAGCGGGTCGGCTTTGAGCGCCGCGTCGGTCGGGGACGGCGGGTCATCAGAGGTGGACGGATCCAAAAGGCTGATGAGGATTTAAACGGTTAGTTTGTCACTACATTTATACTGAACTAAGAGGTATAACATATTGGTAACACTTTATGTCCTTGTTACACGTTACATACTGTATTAATAACGGTTACACTTTATTTGGTAACGCTTGCTTTTACAGTCCTGTTACCATACTATGTACTTATTATAGTAATTATAACTAGGTACTAACCCTGAACCTACCCCTAACCCATGTACTTACCTTATATTAGCCAGTACTTTCTAGGTAAGTACACTATAAGTACACGTAAGTACTGTACTGTAAAATGAAGCGTTACCCTTTATTTTAAGGTGTAATTATATATTTAAGTACTGAGTAATATTAAGCAACTACATGTACTTACTATAGGGTTAGGGTTTGGTTGAGGGTTAGTTGCATGTAATTATGCATAATTTACTGTTATTGCTACGGTAAGTACATGTAACATATGTAACAAGGACACTGTAAAATAAAGTGTTACCGTAATAACTATAAATTATGCATAATTACATGCAACTAACCATAACCCTATAGTGAATACGCTGACTTTATTAATAATACTCAGTACTCAAATGTGTAATTACAGTGTAACAAGGACACAGATACACTTTATTTTAAGGTGCTCAAGTTACAGTGTGATTATAGATTTAAGGACTGAATATTAATAATTAACTACATATACTCACTCACTATAGAGTTAGGATTAGGGTTTGCTTTATAGTTAATTGTATGTAATTATGCATCCTTTGTAGTTATTACTACAGTAACTACATGTAATATGTGTTACAAGGACACTGTGAAATAGTGTTGCTAAAAAATGTGTAACCAAAATATTTTGATTATTATGACATACTTTAAAAATGAATGTTGAGCCACTCATATATATATATATATATATGAGTGGCACAACATTCATTTTTAAAGTATGTCATAATCTAAATATTTTGGTTACACATTTTTATGTCTATATATATATATATATATATATATATATATATATATATGTATATATAGCAAAACTAAATTATGCCAAAACATGCATAAAGGATACATAAATTCTAGTCAAAATCATTAGAAATGAATTATTGCACAGCTAACGAATATTATCATGCCAGTATACAGTGAAGATACATTTCACAGGAAAGAATTGTCATAAGCATTGCATAGTGATTGTATGATACCTAATGACAAATGAAGCTTTATTTACATATGTGTAATGACATGTAATGTTCAAACCACAAACATCTCAGCCCATTAAAACAGTCACCTGACGCTTAATTACTGGCATTTTACAGAAGAGTTGCAAAAGTGGTTTCACTTTTTAAAACTCTATTACGATGAAAATTATGAAAAGAAAAACTCAAATTATGCTGAATTTATGGTAAGCTTTATTACTGTGAAGTTTACTGCACGTAAACAAAGATACTAATGAAACATGTTCTACAGTGTCGCATTCCAGTTTGGGACAATGATGGTCCTACACTTACTTGTGCTGGTTCAGGAACTGGAAGTTCTCGCTCAGGCAAAAGTCCTTCAGGTCCATCACTACTTTCCCCAGGGATTGTGCGTTTGAAGCGTCGGTGAGCGAGAGATCTGAACGGGACGAGACTGAGAGAGAGACTGAAGAGGACCTCAGGGGGAGCAGGTTTATTTAAGTGATGCTCGGGCTGGGAGGAGTCAAGCTGTCTAATCCAGATGCATGTGATTAAAACCCTATTGATGGATTCTCATAACTGACAGGTCAAATCCTCGAAAACGACAAGCAGGCCAACTGCAAACCACTCGATCAAGGCCAGGCGTTCTGCAAAACAACACATTCACAGGATGCCTTCTAACGGAGAGTTATTTAGATACAATCATGAAAGCAGTGATTGCTCATTTTCATCATTTTTAGGCTACTGAAGTTTTCAGATACTCAGTGTTGTGTGTAAATACATATAAAGACATTCCTTCTCTGCAGTTGACTGCAAACACCAACAAACCACTCCCGCAACATCAAGTCTGCTTCATTTCCCTGTTTCCACTGTTGACCCTCAAAACAGCCGCTAATTTGAGCTCTCTGACTGGAATTACTGGATCTCTGAGGGGTTTCGTCCAATCACACGCCACTCCGGTCACTGATTGAATTCAGTCAAGTTAAAGAGGGAATATCTCAGCTGCTACAATAAAACTTTAAGTTGAATTATTGGTAACAATACATTTTTCAGTTACACGTGTAGTTACTGTAGTAATAAATATAAATTATGCGTAATTACATGCAACTAACCCTAAACTAAACCCGGTAACACTTTATTTTACAGTGGCATTGTTACACGTTACATACTGTAGTAATAACTATAAATTATGCATACATGTAACTAATCCAAACTCTGACTCTGTAAGTACATGCAGTTAATTATTATAACTTAAATGCATAATTACACTTTAACACGGACACCTTCAAATAAAGTATAACCAAAATATTTGACATGGTAAAGAGTGTTTTGAGGAAGAGAACTGGTTTGCGCTTTACAATTAACATTAGATAATGCATTAGCTCACATGGACTTACAATATGCAATGAATATTTTTATAGTATTTATTCATCTTTTTTTATATTTGTTAATAAAAATACAGTTTGCTCATGTTAGTTCACGGTGCATCAGTGGCGGTTCTAGCCCATTTCAACTGGGGGGGCCAAGCTGGGGCCAGTTGTACTGTTAGAGGGGCCAGTTACATTTAGACCTTATTGTTGTCATATCATTTTCTGCACTGCTGCAGGCATTAACAGGCAAAATACCGTAATCATTCAACAATGTATTTGCATTTCCATTATATTTTTACATTTGCATTACATATTCCGTATTAGTCACAGTAACTGTAATAGACATGATGTCCTTCTTTCTCTTCATTTTGAGAACTATAGAGCAAAAGCAATGGGGACCAAGAAGCTTATTAATTCATTTACTGAAAATAACTGACTTGATATGTCTAACCGTTTACAGGGTTCCTGCACACTTTTTAAAGTCAAATGTAAGGCTTTTTAAGACCTAAAGAAATCAAAATTAATACCGTACATTAGGGGTGTGCAATATTGACAAAAATATATTTCAATATTTTCAACATTTTGTTAATAATTAGATAATATTTTACTGATTGTGTTTTTGTGCTGGTGCCATGGCTGGTTTAGGTCTGTTGTTGACAGCTGACTCACGAAGATATTAATATTTTTCATATTCTATGCAGTGGTCAGTTCACAGCAGTGACAGAAATACATTTTTTTAATTAAGGGGCAATATTTGCCACCTTAAATTGATTTCCAGGGGCATTTTCACCTATATATGGACATTTTTTCTAAACTTATTTAGAGTTATGCATCACCTTTTATGTCAAATACTAACATTCAAATTATACAGTAATTATACTTATTTATACAATAATACTTAATTATGCAATAATTATACAGTACCACTGTTACCAGTCAAATTAATTAATTCAATCAAAATCCATCTTTGCAGTGCAGAGGTGACACAGAAGTGGCATTAATATATATTTACACTCCATTTACAATTGCATAAATAAAGCTATGAGATTTTTTTTAAATCAATATTTAAATATGAAATTATTTCTAATTTTAACGTTTTAATTAAAGGATACTTTAAATATGAAACTAAAACCGCCAGTAGGCGGCGGCAAGTCCCTGTAAGAGGGATTCATTCATTCAAACGATTTGTTCAAACAGCTGATTCATTCGGGAAAGAACAAGTGATTCGTTCAAAACGCGGATTTCAGTCAATAAATCATCGCTGTGTTGCATTGAGACTCTGCTACGGTTTCATTATGAAATTCTAGTCGGCGAAATAAAGGGAAAACAAACAATATTGACAATATTGTGTCTGAAAAGTAACTCCCAATGTTAACTTATTGTTAATTTAACTGTTGTATAACATAAATATTACAGTTGCAATTGTGCACGGGAAAACGGCACTCTTGCTGATGTGATATTCTAATATAAGAACATAATATGATATAAATATAAGACAAAAACTAATTTGGGGACATAGCCTATATGACCTGCACACAGCAGTGAAAGGACGATAGACAAATGCTATGTCAGCTCACAGTGCCTCGTAGGCTACATAGTTAAAACAATGATTACAATATCAATACACATCGCACACCCCATACGCACATAAAGAATGAACTTACAACTGAACTGACATTTACCAGCTTTCTCCTTCTCTCCTCTCTCGCGTGCAGGAGACAGGCGTTATTCTGCCGCGATTCCCGCGAATGTGATGCGAATTGTCACGTGAAAATGCAAATCCACAAAGATAGAAAAATAAAAAATAATACGCATACAACGATAGCAAAAAACAGTTTTGTAAAAATTATTTCAAACTCCACATTTAGGGGGGCCACAAGGGGGGCCAAGCTTTTTGTCACAGGGGCACGGGCCCCCCTGGCCCCCCCTCTAGAACCGCCACTGCGGTGCATTAACTAATGTTCAGGGTTATTATCGTTAACTAAATATATTAAAAACATTTCTAAAGCTGAAGTAAAATAAAATATAAATATCAGTTGAAAAACTTAGAAAAGCACTGAAATTATTAACCGAAAAAAAAAAAAACTAAAACTACCTAAAATGGAAATTAAAATAATTTAAAGCTAAACAGCAATATTAAATAATAATAATAATAATAATAAAAGAATAATAAAATGCACATAAAGTAATGTCTAAAAATTTACGTGAAAACTAAAAATATAAAAATAAAAGCTATTTCAAAATATGAATAAAACTAAAATAACACTGCTAGTGTTGTTTTAATATTAAAATATTCAAATGAACATTAGTAGGCCTACTGTAGAAGTATTGTGCATTATTAGTGACTAATTTTAACAAATGAAATCTTATTGTAAAGTGTTGCCAGATAATGGCTGATCTGGTGCATTCTGGTCAGAGTCGATCAATCTATCAGTGTTAAATCCACACGACCGCACGTTACTCTGATATTTCTCCAGATATGTGTGTGTGTGTGTGTGTGTGTGTGTGTGTGTGTGTGTGTGTGCAGCTGTGGGATGTTCAGTCAGTAGGTCAAGATTTGTGGCGATTACTGATGCTGTAAAAGTGCTGAGCTTCAGTGTTCAGCTGCACACACACACACACACACACACACACACACACACACACACACACACACACACACACACACACTACACACACACTGCACAGTGAGCGACTGTTATTACTGTCTGTCTCTGTGATGCAATAGACTCGCGTCTGAGGAACATTATCACTCCATTATTAGAGATCCTATATTCAAATGAAATTATCAGCACAGTTTCAGTGACAAGTTGAAATATTGAACTTCACACGTTTGTGTACAAGCTGACGATCGTGCAGTCACATGATCAATGCCACCAATTTGATTAGTGACCTAGAATCGGAAATGTTTGTCATTCATTGTAATCGTCACAGAAAAAAAGATGCATAATCTTTCTTTGTTTTAAATGTATTAATTTAAAATTCAACAAATCAAAATCATAAACACAAGGATTCATTGGAAAAAATAAACTCAATAAAAATCTCTCTCTCTCTCTCTCTCTCTCTCTCTCTCTCTCTCTCTCTCTCTCTCTCTCTCTCTCTCTCTCTCTCTCTCTCTCTCAATGTGTTAAAAACATGATAAAAACCTGTTAGCAACTTGCTAATTCTTCCTAGCATTTTGTAAAAACATGCTAGAAATGTGCTAACAACAATTTGTGCTACCAATGTGTAACATGCTAATTCATGTTAGCAATATAACATGCTATGATAATGCTATCAAAATGCTAAAACGTGTTTGAAATGTGCTAGCAACATGCTATTATAAGGCTAGCAATATGTTAAAACATGCTAGCAAAATGTAAAATAATGTTAACAATGTGTTAAAACATGTAGAAAATGCTAAAACATTCTATAAACATGCTAGCAATGAAATAAAAAAAAAATGCTATACAAGTTAAAATATGCTATAGGCCTACAACAACATATTAACATTAATACAATGACCACTGTCCCGGACAACAATGTATAACTGACCACTCATCTGGGAAACCTGATTTATAATTTTTATAGTAACGAAAACTAAAACTTTCATCAAAATAAAATATAAAAAACTTTGGTAACACTATTTCACAGTGTCATTTTAACATTTTACATATTAAATAAATTAAGCATAATTACACGCAACTAACCCTAAATCATACCTTAACCATAACTCAATGTACAATTATTATATTAATTATTATATTATTATTAATAATTATGTAGTTAATTATTATTACTCAGTACTTAAATGTATATACAACATGGACACCTTAAAATAAAGTGTAACCTAAACTTTTTATGTATGTAATAGTTGCCAAGGAAACATTTCTCATTTTAATTTAGTTTAACTTTATGTACTAAAATTGAACTAAAATTAATAAAAACTACATAGCCATATTAAAATATAATTTAAAATAATTTAAAAATTTGCAATTATCTTGAAAATATTAATATAAACTATAACAGTATATGCATAGCTCTTATTTTATTTTTCTG